ATATTATACACCGAAATACTGTGATATCGTATCATCAAAAGTCTAACAGTAATACTGTGGGCTGTCAAAATATATCGAATTACAAGTTCCTTTGCTTAAATGAACTGTTTTATAGGAGCAATAGCTAATAAACATCAGGAACTGTATATCCCATGATTCATTTCAGCACAGACAACATGAAGTTATATGTTTTTACTTGAATTTTTGGGATTATCACAGTAATAATTCACACCAAATTCCTTTCAGGGTATTTTAAAAGCAAAAAAGTGTCTCATCTACAATTATATCAGCCTCTCCAAAATATCGCAATAAATATTGTACCGTGAGATCCATATCGTGATAATATTGTATCAAGAGATTTGGATATCGTTACATCCCTAAGTATTATTGTACGGGGAGGACAGGAGCGATGTGGTCTCTGGAGTGGGTGCGGGTGTGGTGGCGGGCGGCAGAGTTCTAGATGTATTGCAGTTTTTGGAAGTGGATGGAGGGGAGACGATACAGAAGGCTATTGCAGTAGTCGAGTCTGGAGGAGATAAAGGCATGAATAAGGATTTCAGCTGATAGAGGGAGGGGCGGAGACAGGCGATGTTCCGGAGATGGAAAAATTATGTTTTAGTGATGTGGCTGATGTGGGTTCTGAATGAGAGGGCAGGTTCCGTGTTGATGCCAAGGTTGCGTACGGAGGGAGAAGGGGTAACAGTGTAGCCATCGATGCAGAGGGAGGAAAGCTTTGCGTCTGGTGATGTGCACTTCTGTTTTATGTCTGTTTAGTCTGAGGAAATTGTGGTTCATCCAGATTTTAATGCCAGACATAGTAATATGATAAATGCTGTATGAGCTGATATTAATACTGTTTGTGTTGATTTAGTACTGGTGAAAAACAAAACATAGTAATCTCCTAAATTTACCCTGGCCATTCCCAGTTACAAAACACATTTTCAGAAGTTACGTAATCTCTACTTGAATCTAACCCAGATTCTCTCATGCTTTGAATTCTTGCTGGGTTTTTCCTTGAATTGGCCCACAGATTTCATAGCTGTTTATTTCACTCTCTGACCGTGTTTCTAAGATACAACAACCTCTGTCATTGAAGATACAACTTGCACCCTTTGTCTCTCACTGACTCCAGTCTCTTGTTTAGCCTGAAGAGCCTGTGATTATGAAGAATTTGTGCTGATTTGACGCCATCTCTGTTGTTACTGATGCTGTTTACACGTAATCATCTCCCTAACTATGCAGTCACTTGAGTCTATAACGCTTCTCCATGTCCTGTAACTGGCTTGTCCTCATATATTAGGGCATTTGAAACATCCTGAAGCTGCAGTCAAATTACTTTACACTCTGTGACCTTTGGCAAACCCCTGTTACTTGGAACAGAAACCTCTGTTGCTGTTGCTCAAACCGTGTTTTATTTTGTTCAATGCTGATAGACTATTCCCTTCTCCCCTTCTTAATGCAATAAAGATGATCCAGGCCTACATTTATACTACACTGGTTATATATTATCAAATGCATTCTGTGCTCTGGGGCTACACCAACGTTAGATTAGCAGTTCATTATTATTCTAATATTGAAATAAATATCATTACTTAACATAGGTCAGGGGTTTATATATTTATATATATATATATATATATATATATATATATATATATATATATATATATATACATATATATTTTTTATTTTTATTTATTTATTTATTTTTTTAATGATATCTTTAGTGCCACTGAACTGGGCTGCACAGACTGTAAAACATGCCTAAGAGATATTACTTACCACAGAGCTGGAATTATATATAAAGCAGTCCTATTTGAAGAATGCACATTTTGTTAAAGAAGAAGTCATCAGAATGTATTTTTATACTAAAAAGATGTTTTAACAATGTTATATTTACGCCTTTCACAATCAAATGACTTATCCATAACCATTGTGACAGACCGTTTGATTCAGTTGTCACTTTGCAGACCACACTGGACCATAACACACACACTCACACACTCTCACACACACGCACGCACGCGCACACACACACACAGGAAGGACCTTTGTATCTACCACTTCCTATTTGTCTTCCTCTGACTGATGGATTTAGCACACTACTCCAGGGGTCATTGATGTTGTCCACTGTCTCCAGTCTTGACACACTGCTCCCTTTTACTGCATGCCGGTTTTTGCCACAGTCTCTCAGTGTGAATCTGCCAGGCTTTAACCGTTAATATGAAAGTGCACAACAAACTGACTGGTCCAAAAGCACTTCCTCATATTGTCCCAAACACTGATCCAGGAAAAACACTGGGATTGATCTCCACTGTGTCTATGAAGTTGTCCCTCTCTCTCATGCATCCAGCTTGAATGGTTTGCATGCACAGTAAAATGAAAAAAACAAGTACCTCATAACAGAAACGCATAACTTGTCATTTTCAAATTTCTAAATGCAGACAGACTTCCTAGTATCATAATAAATTTCTTTTGATTTAATCAGCAATGTAATGTTTTAATGCTAATACTGTGTTATGAATCAGTGGGTTTAATTTCATCCCTCATGTTTGTGGTCACGAAAGAAGACATACTATCTCTTGTCTGCCATTCTATGATGTTTGTGACTTTTATTGACTTAGTGACTTTTATATTTTGGACTTTTAAAATCATAATATGGATCTAAAACGACTTAATGAAAGAAATAAGCCAGCTTTCGGTTTAAAAATGCTGTGGTGATTTTTTTTTTCCTTTCCCTATTTTATTGTGATAATAAAAATTTTCTTAGTTAAATTAAATAAAAATAAACTTAATTATTATTAGGCTAAAATTATATTGGAAATAAAAATATGCTGCAATAAATCTTTTCCCATTGCTTCCCAAATGGCAGCTCATAGTTATGTAAATAGAGACGACTTTTTCCTCAATGGTTTACCAGAAGTATTGATTTTAGAGCTGTTGACTGGATTTGTACAGTTACACAGATATACATCTCTCTGAAGCTGTAATGAAGCTGTGATGTGGGGATTTCCACACACACGTCTCTCCCGCTGATGGGACCCCTCCTCTTACAGCACACTTCCACACTTGTGTTAGCTCTTCCTGTTTTCTGAGTTGTGTGATTTGGATGGCCTTTATATGGACACATTGTTCTGAGCAGCAACTGACCACAGGGGTGCTGCTGACCACACACAAACTGTCACACTGAGGGGAGGGTCACCACCTATAATGCTGTCTGTGCAAAATTACTGTATTGTTGAATTGCGAAGAGTATATATTTAACATAAGGCAGGGCTTTATCTCCTGTGGCTCTGTTCATGCTTCAGTTCTGGGTTCTGCTGACTATTGTTAAGGATGTACCCCGCATATGTCTGCACGTTTTTTTTGTTTGTTTGTTTGTTTGTTTGTTTTTTATGATAAATATTGCAATTACAATTAAATTTGCAATGTTCTTTTTAATCAAGATCCAGTTTACATTGCACATTTTAAGGGACCATATTACTCCATTTTGTGATCTATGTGGTTTCCTCGTCACAAACATACCTGGAGTTGTGTTTTGTTTCAGTCACGCATGTTTAAGACACAATCCCTGCATATTTAGGTTTGTTTTTTCTCAAACTCTGTCCCACCTTGTGATCTCATGTGGTAATGCAGGAAGTGCTCCACTCCGCACACCTTCACAAGAATCAATTGGAAGATTTCAGCCCTGGAATTGCCAGTCTACTGAACTAAAGGTAATTGGTAGCTGTTAACTGGAAAACTTCCCTTACATGACATCACAAGGTGTATCAGAGCATTTTGAGCTTTAGAGATCTAGGCAGACTAATAATAAAGGATTACTCATACCTATGTGATTGAAACAAAACACAGATAATTGCATGAAATGGGCCCTTTAAAATGTGCACTGTAAACTAGATCTTGATTTAAACTTAAAGCTCATGAGAGTCAATTTTGTGTAAATATAGGACCTTTAAACATGTCGCTAACATTAACATACAGTAGGTGCAAAGACTGAGTTGCTTGATTTGTTTATTTTCTTTGAGCATATTATAAATAAAACATGTTCATAGACACAAAGGTAGAAAGGCTGTTCATATCCTCAAAATGACTCAAAATCTGCAGCCCTGGTAGTGAGATTCCACACTTGTTAATCATCACATATCATTGATCTTAATGGATCAGGAACAAACTTAACTGGTCTTTTTACAGTAAAGCTTACTGGAATTTGTTTTGCTGGTAAATGATTTGAGAAGAAGAATGAAGGATCAGGCATCCAGGGGCATACTTTATACAATATGTCTTTACACGTCTCATTGTCTTAGTACAAGCTTTTGTAACATTGTCAACTCTGTATCTAAATTTCGACTCTAGATCCAGGCTATATTTAGTGTGTCATCTGCCCACTCATTCAACCACAGAGGAAATGGCACTAGCTGTATTCAGTATCGGGTGAGTGAGTCAGTCAGTCCATCATCTTGTGGCTTGTATGTACCGTAGGTGTAGGAGATTTGCTCTGTGCGTCTGTTGGTATTTTGGTTCTTGGTTTTTGTGAGTTCACACGGAGACAGAGAGACAGATAGAGGGAGAGTGAGACAGTGCATTTGCAACAACTGAATCTGCAACCGGAAACTTGTGGTGAGACAGGCTGCTGAGCTGTCAGTATGCACACTGCCTTTCAAAGTGCTGCTGTTGTCATAAGGATTAAGGCTAAATCCATCAAAATAAAGCCCTATTGTTCAAGTCCAATTAATGGCACAACCCTGCATTATAAGTGGGAAATATTTTAGAGTGACAAGTTTCTGAGCTGAGCTGTGCTCATACAATAATGTTGTAGACTGCTTTTATGGTTTTTTTACATTTTCAGGAAGCCATGAGCCACAAAATTTCCTTTCTAGAAAACTTGTCAAAAGCTGTGTGCAGTCTGTAAAAATGACCCTCTGACTTCAGGAACCTGTACTTGTTTTGAATAGATTCATAGAGCGGTGACGCACTGCTTGTATTTCCTTGTCACTAAGGAGGAAGCACTCTCTCCTGTGATTGGCTGATTGCACTTTCTTGTGACTGTGCTGCCTCAGACTGTTACATACTCACAGAGGAGCTACTGTGTGGAGCATGTGTCAAGAGGAGCGGACTCTTTACTGCTCTGCTTCCTGAGACAGACTGTAAGTCAGTACGAAAATACTGTGACTTTTGATACAAGTTTGTAGTTCATTGAATGAATGTTGAACTTTTATAATTTGTTATTTGTAACATCTTTTTAAAGAAAGCAGACAATAGAACTGTAGAACTGTGTTACAATCAGTAAAGACCAAGATGTAGAGAGTGCAGAGGTGTTATTCTAGATTTGTACAAAAGTCACTTTGACATTCACCTCTGTCACCGCCATCGAGAGTTACTCTGTTATTTGAGCCACAGTCTGTTGCAGCTCACTCTGATCCAGTTGAGCTTCAGATTTTATTTTTTCCTCAGTTTCAGTGTAATTATAATCATGATTCATATTCAAGTTCTTATGAATTGCCCAACCACAGTCACAAATAACTATGGCTTTTAATATGAATAATAACTGTTAACTGCAGGTTTATTTTGACACTGTGGTGCCACAACTAAGACATATTTGAATTGTATTTATTATTTATTGCCTCTTCTAATTTTATTTTATTAAATATATATATTATTAAATATATACATGCTGATGACAGTACTATAAGCATAAAGTATAATATTGTTTACCCATTTTTTGCTCAGTGTTTTTATGGGGCAAAAGTGCAAATACTATGATCAGTATATATAACAATAAAGTATAATAAAAATATATCTGCTGTCTCCTTCCAAGTAGCTGCCTAAATCACAAATCAATGAGTTGGCTTAACAAATGTACATACGAGTTCATGTGTTTGAGATTTTTCATATTTTTATTCCCAAGATTTTTAAAGAATAGTGTTTGACATTAAACAAATTGCATGGTGACAAAGGTGGAAACCTCACAAATGGATTTTTGAGCCTTCATGTTTTGCTCGTCACTTCCTGTGTGTGTGCAGATCAATGAAGCATGTAAGATGACCAATGCAGTGCCCTGGAGTTCCTCAAGCTGCGTGTGAGCGCCATGGAGCCCACAGGTACACAAACGATGGTGCACTTCATTTGCTTTGACTTATAGTATAGAAAACTAGAAAAATCAGATGACTCCCTATAACGTTACCTCAGTTAATGTATTTTTACATTTTCTTATGATACTGAATATATGAAAGGGTAATGTTAGTCATTTGCCAGTGCTTCAGAACTTGTTTGTATTTTCATGTCCAGGGGCCTGCTCGCCCACTGTTCCAGAGCCGGAGTTGTATCGAAGGATTCAGGCCATTCTCCCAAAAGAAACAGACAGCTCTCAAAGCCAAGACTGCTACAACAAGGGTACTTTTTATTTTATTCACATACTTCTCGTCTTTGTAATTATTTCCATTTGGGCTGAATATTTGTCGACTTAATATTAGATGCCCAATGGAATAAATGCTGTGTCAGCAGTAGGACTCTGTTGTGTTGTTAGTCATACTTTGGATGTGCTCTGCAATGGAATAAAATGTGACACATTCTGCAAGCTTGTGTTTAGTGCTGTGGAAACCTCTCTTTAAAATTCACTGATACACTGTTGTATACAGGCATGTTGAGGTGGACGCTTCATAAGAAAGTTCAAAATAACCCAGTCAATAGCCTGTCTCTGCTGTGGGTGCTCATAAAGGAACTTGAAAAGGTATTGTTTATTTTCATGTGTTTTTACAAAGCTATTGGTTAATATAACTGGAGGTAATAAAACAGCAAAAGAAATGTAACTTTGTTAACTGGACAAAAGCTTTGGAGTGAAACATTTAGCAATATTTTTATTGCTATGGAACCTACCTGAGTAATTAAGGGATTACGGAGAAAGTAAGACACAATTCAAATCTCATAAAGCAGCATCTGATTCACTATAGAACAGAAACAATACAATTAACAGACCATCTTATGTTAGCTATTGCAGTACAGAACAAAGACCCAGCATATTACTGGAAAATAAATAATAATATTAATGCTGATGATAATAATAATAATAATAATAATAATGCATTAGTCATATAGCGTTAGCTATAGTGTCATATATAACGTTTTCAAAACGGTGCATTATTCATTCACTCCCCACTCTGGCGTGGGACAGAGTGACGGAAGTGATCTCAGATACTATAGTAGATCATATCTTTTTATATCATCTCAGTCATTGTTTGAATGAATTGGTGGCTCTTGATTCTGTCCTGCAGAGCATGCTTACGTAGAGGCCTACACAGTTTTCTTTTTAGAAGCGCTTTGGCCAATGAATTGCATTTATGCATTTTATTGTGAAACAATTTGCAGCAACACTATTTATATAAAAAAATATGTATTTTTATTAAAACTATTAAAATGATTGTAACTTAAACTCCAAGATGGATTGCAAATGTTATGTCAATCTGGCTTTCATGCAAAAAATTAAAAATTTTAACACCAAATTTTTGTTTATAGCTCTGTACATTGTATCCAGTTTTATTGTTTACAGTTTTTGTACAGAATATATCAATTAATTGGAAATTTCTATTGTCAGCTAATCTGAAGAATATTTATTTTTTCTGCAGGCTGAAAGATGGAACAGTCGCAAAAATATCATCCCTCTTCTGCACACACTTATGTACGCTCTGATCCAGGTACTTTATACTTTATACTTTATACACTGTGTTAGCTTTCAAACTCACACAGTCACATACATTAGTGTTGTTTTTACTGTCATCATATGTACTTTTTTCCTTCCCGACACCTGTGCCTTATGGACATACCAGACGGCCTACATTCCAGATGAACTGTATAAACGTGTTTATGACTTCTGTAAGAGGCTCCTGACGTACCCCCAGCCCTACTGCACCATTGGCCTCAGCTGCACCAGGCAAATCAAGAAGGAAAGAGCTATTCCAGGTAAGAAACTGTTAACAAAGTTTCATAATCATTATTAATAAATAATTACATCACATATTAGGTGTGCATTACTTACATATCAATCAAATTAATCCATGAATTGCTGTAAAATTCACTTCTGAAAAATGCATGATGTGTACAGATTTAATTGATCAAAAAGTTTCTCACTTTAATTTAAACCATGTATATTTAAACAAATACTTTTTAATAATATCCGTGACAAATATTATGTTTCGTTTTTTATAATACAGGTCTTACTTATCAGAGGATGGTCATAGCTGAACAGAGGTTAAAAAACAATCTCTATCCTTTCCAGGAGAGGTGAGATTTATAAATGTATTATACTTTGAAGCTCAAAATGTGCCCTTATTTACTCTCATCACATTGTTGCCTGTAGGGTTTTTGTGCTGGCGGACCCTGTGGTTTTCTCCACTTCTTTAACCAAAGTTGTGAGTGATGACATTGAGGCGTCTGTGTCTTCTGCATGCTCCAAGGGATGTACCTCTCCTTTAGAACACATGTGCAGTGTGGTCCAGCACTCCATCCAGGCAAACGTAGGCCTGGAGCACAGTGATGGGGCCAGGCTGGCCAGGGCACTCAAGGTCAGTGGAAACACATGCACTGATGATCTTAGCTGTTAGTTTTTATAGTTATTATGCAACACTTTCTGCTTGTATATTACTGTGGAAAAGGACTGTCAGCCTTAAGTTGTTTAGTTGGTTCATTGTTCAATCATGTCTAAAGGCCACCACACACTACAGGAGAATTTGCCCGATTTTGGATGCTTCTCCCCGTGTTTAGGTGCAATTTTGAACCCGCTGTGCTGATCATATGTGTAGTATTTGTGTGAGTCTGAGCTGCTCTGTCAGATCGTAATCAAACATCAGCAATGCTACAGCAACAGTCAATAAAACAAAGCATCAAATAGAGTGTGATGGACAGAGATACAAAAAATAATTATTACTCATCTCTTGTAAAGTGGTAAACTGCAGCATCCTATCCACAATATCCAAAGAATTTGTCCTTCGCAAATAATGACAAAACATCGCTAATAATCCAATTTGAAGCTAGAGTAGTTCCTAACATGTGTATGTTTACGTTCACGCACCGCACAGATCCACTGAAGCTGTAGATGAGTGAAAGTAACTCTGCTTACCTTGTTCTTTATCGCCAACCATCTGTGCATTTAAAATCATGCATCTGAAGTACTGCACCACATGTCACACACAATAGTACAGTTTTAACTTACATCTAAACTAGAAGTTCAGTACTCTGATCTTTTGAACACTTAATAGTCTCAAAGTGAGTGGTTTTACTGTAGACAGGAAACAGCTGTCATGAGCTTAACTTTGTAACCTGTGGTCCGCAGCCATATCCTGCTGAAGTCTTTGTAATCGGAGATTTAAAATCTCATAATATTCTCCCCTGTCTGTGGTGTGTGTTTTTTGACGCACATTCAATAATCATTTAAGACTGAAAAATCTGTGGTATGCGGCGGCCTTTAGGTGACACATTTATATCTATGTACAGTTGAAGAAAGGATGAAGTAAATTAGCTGGAGTTTAGGAAGTGACCTGTAAGAAAAAAAAAAAAAATTGTGTGTGTGTAAACTTGAGTAAACTTGTGATCTTTTGTTTGGATTTTGGGTCAGATACATGTGATACTTAATCATGTTGAAATCTTTTGCCAGCGCCTTTTTAATCTATCAAACCAAAAGTTAGAGTCTACTCTGAGGGTCATAATATGATTTTAAAATATATTTATCTATTTTTTAATTGAAAACAGTGTCTTTAAATAATGTTTACACTTTATTACACAAATTATTACAACTGTCAATTGAGCTTAATTTGGTCTGGACCCTGATCACACACAGAGACTTATATTACACACCAAATATGATGTCTTATCAGTCCCAGTGCTGCCTGTATTTTCTTGATCACTGTTAAGTTCATATACTATTTTGGGACTAGTATATCTGTATGTATGTAAGGCCCATGTTATCACAGGAACTCTCATCAAAGCCTTTTCTTTCAAAATCCACTTAGCAGGTGGTTATCTACATAGTTTGTTTAAGAACTTCCTCCGCTTTGCAAGTTCAAAACCACAGTGTGCTTGATTTGTATGTGTTTCATGTACGTGCTTGAGACATCCTCTATGAAAGTCTGTCTTCTGTCCCACTCAGTCTCTCCTACACTTGACAGTGCTCAGAGGACACATGCCACACTGACCCATCACCTCTTTCCCCTGTATCTGCCTGCCTGCTCACTTTCGGGTGGGCGATATTGTGGAAAAGGAAAATCTCATATATATATATATATATATATATATATATATATATATATATATATATATATATATATATATATATATTGTCACGAAAACCATCTTTAGATGGTATTTCAACAATGCATCAGGAAAGTGCTAAAGAGTAAATGTCTTGGTTGAGCTGGACCATAGAATTAAAGCCACACTTTGCTGCTATGGAGATGTTATTGCTTTGCTGTAAATGTTCCACAGTATGGTATTAAACTTATCTAACATGCATGTATGCAATTACACGTGTTTCATCTCCACAGATTTGACCTGTAACTTAAATAATATAGAAATAGATAAGTTTAATTTCATACTGTGAAAGTTTCCAGGCAGATATTTCCATGGAATATGTAATGAAGCCTCAACCAATAAAAGGACACAAATATCACTTTATTCAGTTTATTGTATAGAAAGAAGTGTTTTAATTTTAGACCAAAAGCTCATATTTGATTGCCTTGCCTTTTGCATACCTCAAAAACAACAATTCTCCATTTCATTAGCCTAATAGCATAATTGTCTAGGTCTTTTTTTTTGGCCAAATTGTGATATCTGCCTAACTTTACAATGTGCTTGCTAAAAACTGTGTTTTTTCTTGTTTTCCAAAAATGTTCAAATATGACTTAGGCAAACGATTTGTTGATATATTTCACAGCTAATTTTTGATGTGTGTTTGGGACAGGACAAGGGTCACGACGTTGAGCACTACTTTCAGGAAGTGTTGGCGGCGTTTGAGCAGTGTGCAGAGGAGAGTGAGACACTGAAGAGCCGCTTGCTTCAGCTCTACCATCAGATTGTGGCAGATACAGGTGAGTACATACTACAGATACAGCAATGTCTCTACATTACGACCCTCTTTTTCTCATCAACACTCTCAGTGGCCTATGAAATCATATGAGCAGACCACAAGACAGCCACAGATAAGTTATGTAATATATTATACCGTCTTAATAATCATGCTACTACAGTGTTTTCAGTGCACGAATGGCTATGAATACAGACATCATTTTGGAGAATGGATCTTTCACATTTAGCTCTGGAACTCAGTACCTTATTCATTCAGTCCCAGTCAAAGCTTCTCCTGTATCATAACTGCCCTAGGACCTTACCTGTAACTTTCAGGTAAGCAGTCAGATTGGGGCTGCACAATACACTAGTCAAAAGTTTGGACACACTTTGTTTTCATGAGTATTTACACTGTAGATTCTCATTGAATGGTACTGGTAAATAGTCACCACTCACCCATTCACACTCACACTCACACACTAATATACGCAGACACTGGGGGCAAGATATTTAGGTTAGGTTTAAGATAGGTTTTAGATATTAGTTACTTGTTTTTTTAAGGCCACCTTTTACTTTTATCAATGCTTTTGACCCTGGCAAGGCACACGTGTGATATCGAAGCCATTTCAGGTCACTTCATCATGAAGAGCAGTAAGAGAAGGCCAGGGGTTTGCAGCACTGTCAATAAAGAGGATTTGTATACAGATATTTAGTTGATTTATTTAATTATTATTTTCTTTACTACATACTGGTAATTCCATATAGTATCTTGCATATATGATGTCTTCCATATATATCTGAAAATTAGTGAAAATAAATTAAAAAAAAAAACAATGAATGAAATGGTGTGTCCAGACTTTTGACTTGTAGTATATACTGTATGACAGTTAAATCAAAATGACCAAATTGCAGTATTTAGGTAATTGGATATTTTTCATGTTGTTCCCCTGTGTTCACAATCTATATACAATTATATTGTAATTGTATTAGTTTATCAGTTCATATTTCAGTCTTCTTTCAAATGTTAATGCTTGTGGAGTGGTTTACAATTTGCAATTTTTCAACAGACCTAAGTCAGGTCAAGTCACCCATTTACCTCATACACACTGACCTACAAAATGGTAGTATTGGCTGTGATCTATTTCCATAACATCAACATTATTTTTAAATTTGTGTCAGATCTGATAAAGATCCATCCAGCTGCGTGTCTTCACTTGGTGGATGTGACTGTTTATTTTGTATTTGCGTCTATTCCTTCCTGTATTCATGTTTGTGTGTATTACAGAACCATTGTCTAGCGGAGCCTTGTGTGACTACTCTCTGCCCAACCCTGATATGAGCTTCTACCTGTGGACAGAGGAGCTGGATATCTGTGAGTGTGTGCTCATTATAGGGGTCATTATAGGGGATGGCTCAGGGGTTATAGGGGTAAATGTTTATTACATTTATTACATTATTACATTACATTTTTAGTTCTCTTTCATTCATATTGCTTAATAGATTATCATTCCTTTATTATGTGACCAGCTTTATGAAATCAGTCTTTATGAATGATTAGTATAGAAAACAGATTTGCACTTCAGTTTACTTTGCTGTATGAATTTTATTACCTCTTTTAATTTCTCATTTAGTTCAGTTCTGTTTTTTTAATTAAGTTGTTACCTGTATAATTATGATTATTAACTGAGTAGTCCTGACTTCCCTTATCATAACTTTTGTTCTTTAAGTAACACTTTATTATTAATCAGTTTACATCTTCGAAGTCCAAATTGCTCTGTTCAACCTTGTGATGTCATGAAGTGATAGTTTTCAGGTTAAACAGCTACATTTACCTTTAGTTTAGTAGAAATGGGCAATTCCAGGTCTGAAATCATCCAATTGATTCTAGTGAAGCACTTTCTTGTATTACCACATGACATCACAAGGTGGACCGAGGTGTTCTCAATTTGAGAGAAGATCTCAGCCTAAATATGCAGAGTTTGTCTCTTAAACATGTGTGAATGAAACAAAACACAACTCCAGGTCTGTTTGTGATGAGGAAACATCAATAAATAACCCACAGTAATATGAGCCCTTATGCGTATGACAGGTTTTGACAATTCTCTAATTTTGACTTAATTTGGTGGATTAATATCTGTTGTAAAGATTAATTATAATTTCACACAAATCAAGAAGCAATTTGTAAAAATTGAAAAGTGAAATGTTGAAAAATATGTTGAAAATTACAGGAAGTAGAGAGTTCTGATTTAGAGAGCTCCACATTGAAAACATCACACTGGAAGAATTCTATCCAAGTGTGGCACCATTTTCATGTAAGAAATATTTTTTCTCCAATACTTGAAACATTATTTCAACAAAATAAAGGTGTTTTCTTATATTTTTATTTGTTTTATTTGTTATTTCTGTGTACACTAGAGGAGTTTTGGTCCAGTGTACAACATGGTTGCTAGGTAACAGTTATGGAACTCCCTACTGTTTTTTTGTTTGTTTGGTTTTTTTTTTTTGTTTTTTTGTAAAAATCTTGAATATAATAATGTCAGCTGTGTTTTAGTCAAATGACTGGACAAACTTGTCATAGGCACTTAAAAGTAATTTATCCTCTCACTGAAAATGAAAGTGATGATGTTCTCGATTGTAATCTTTTCTATAAAGTTTGATTTATTTTGAGTTTAAATGAACAGAGTCACAAGAGAATACTTTCTGAATAACCGTATTTAGATGGTGTTGATTGAACTGAATGAAATGAACATTTGTCTTGTAACAGTGTGTACATGAGTAGCCTTGAGTCAGAAACCATTATAAGTGAAAATTGCTCTTACATTGTGGTTTATTAATCATGAGGTCCTGTGAATCTGCAGTGGTAAAGCAGCTGATAGTTACATACAGTGGCCCTTGTATTTGTTTTCTCTGCTTCTTTTATAAATAGTTTTGTGTACATTGTGTCACAGGGCGAGAGCTGTCCAAGTGGTTTCGGTCCAGTTCGACATCAGATTCGTTCTCCGTGAGCCAGGATCAGGACCAGGATCAATATCAGGACCAGGAGGACTTTGACCTCGGAGACTCACCCCTGGAGCTGCCTTCGGACATGACACGCTTCTCTGTCATGTCCAACGACAGTGGCATTGAGAGAGACCTCCCTCTCAGCGCTGATCTGTGTATTGGTGGTGCTGCTCTGAGTGCTGCATGTGAACAAGGAAAGAGGTACCTACAGTGTCACTCATATAAACATATACACCTTTGGCTCTTTTGGGCTCTAACTGCTCAGCACACAGTGATGTTTGTCCACTAACTGGGATGTTAGTAGATGGGCCCCAGAATCTCTCTTAGAAATGTCACATGATAGTGTTTTAGGTAAGACAAGTGGCTGTGAAAAGTAGTCTATAATCTCAATCTTTATTATCATAACATCATGAATAATACAATAGATTATGTGCCTACACTTGTTAATGACTACATAATGAGCAAATAGATTAGGGAGAATGATCCAGGCTTGGTAACTATTAATACCCTTACATTTTTGTAAATATATTTAATGTTTTGAGTTATGTCATAGCAGAACAAATAGAAGGTGGTACAGAGACGAATATAAGATTGACTCAAAGTTTGATGCTTAAAATGTAGTGGGAAAAAGTAAGAAGTAAGACCCCTTAATTAAGTAGTTATTAAGCCTGAATTATTATTGATAATATATTAGTTCATGATGATTTAAGAATTGGTCAAGCTTTCTTAAGTCTAATTAAGTTGTATTTACGCAACTTATGCATAAAATGCATACCACATAATTGGGCAAACTTCTTCTAATACATACTTTATTACCCATTAATCAACCAGTTGTCTTCATTTGAATCTCTTTAGTGACCAGGACTCTGGGAAGCTGTCTCGAAAAGGAGGTATAAAGTTGCGTCCCACAGTGAAGGACAGTGTGGCTCTAATGCAAGACACACTGGAGGAGCACGCCTCTCTGGTAGGGGAGGGGCTGAGCGGAGGAAAAGGAGGACGAAGAGCTGCTACTTTACAAAGACGAGCAGGTAGCAACGCCATGCAGAACCCCTTCCTCAAACAACAGAGATACTTCACAGCCAAGATCATCGCCATGGGAGACGACAGGGTACTTGGGCGCCTGGCTAAGACATACTACAATTACAGGTAAAAATAAAGGCGGAAAAAAGTATGAAAAGCTTCTGCTGTTAAAGACCTATATTTACATTAATCAAAAATCTGATAATTATTTGATTTCTTTACCTGTTTATTGTTATCATATGATTATGCAAATAGTTACGTCTTATTTGAATAATCTGATTCTTTCTGATTATTCACACACCTGTGCAGGTGTTGATAAGGAACACTGACTGTGGTTATATACACACTCTATATCTGAGTATCAGAGTTATAAGATTATTAAAATTATTTCTAAAAAGCAAAATCATCTGATTTAATTATGATTACTCAAATTTAGCAGTTTGCATGTCATTTAAGTAATTCCATAAATGAGATTATAGTCAGATTTTATTGTACATGTGAATAAGGCCAATGTGAATAAAAGAGAAAAGTAAATGGTAAATGGTCACATCAAGGAGCCACTCACTTGCATATGCATACACCAGTGCACTCAGACACTGGGGGTAAGGGGGGTTAAGAGTCATGCCCAAGGAGACAATGACAGCATACATCTGTGGGAGCTAAAATCACAGCACCCGCCTTTGGATCAGAGGATAAAACTCTACCAACTGAGCTACTGTCACCCTAACTAATAATGTAGAAAAGACAAAAATAAAAGTGAATTTGTTAAAGATGGAAAGAGATATTAAAATTAATTGTCTTCTGAGGACTCAAACCATTTAATTAACTGACATGATTGTCACCAGGGCATGTAAACACACACCGAAAACCTGATTCACCTGTTGGATTTTCTGATTATTCTAGTTATCTATTTTTTCTGGCCATGTACACAATGACATTTTAATTAAGCTTTCACAAGTTATCCATGCTAATAATACTGTCTCATCGTGGTGGGGCTATTGTGTAAAAGGTTCCTAGTTAATTGTGGTTTGTTATTTCAGGAAAAGGGAAGCTCGAAGACTCTTTCTCACCATGAAAGTGAACCTACAGTTTTATTACATCCCTGTCAGCACATGTAAATCACATCACTCTGCCGTGAAGGTATGAACACTTCCTCTGTAAATGTGAACTGAAAAGCCCAGGATTACATCATAACTATAGCAAGATCTCCGTCTGTTCATAATACTCTATCAAATATTCAACTTACTTCATTACACATTATTTGCTTCATAATTTATGTTAATTTACAATATGTTCTATGTATTTTTTTCAAATAGTGTGTGATGATGTCTTTTAACTCTTTTTTTTTTTTTTTTTAGGAAAATCTACATCCACTAAAGGGGAATGCCTGCACTCTCGGTTCTTACTTGAGCATGGTAGATCCTTGGTACAGCTGTAATATCAACAATCTGGGATCTACAATAACCAAGCTAGCAAAGATGGTAACTGACTATTCACATGTTTATTTATATAATAATGTAAATGTAATACATTTACATAACAACATAGTGTCTGCAATTACAGACAATTGAAATTTTCTGACGTGTTTGTAGTCGTTAATAAATCATGTTTGTTTCCTAAAATCAACATGCTTTAAGTTGAGTTATGTGATGTAATGTTTTAGTAACTTGTCATAAAATCTTGTGTATTGCAGCAACAGTCAAACTCAGGACCAACCAAAGATCCCTTTATTTCTGATATCCTTTCCTACTATGTCCGACTGGGGCATCAGCCTGTCTACTTCAACATCTACTTTGTCAAGGTTTCCCTCACATTAATTTATAAATGTGTTTTGATCCTAAATGACTGTGCCCAGTGTGATTTTATTGATGCTTTTTTCAGATCCACTTCACCTCCATGATGAAGGACTCTGCAGAGGATGTGTTTCTCACTCATCTGGAGCTGGAGTTTCCAGACTTTCAGCACATCTCTGCATCTCTTAAAGGTAACCATTTCTCTGAATACCTTTCATTCTTTGCTTTTCTGTTTCTTTCTTTGTGCAAAACCTGTTAAACAGGAAATGTCTTTTCAAAACTAGAGAAACAGAAGAAGAACTCCAGTGAGGTGTGTGGAGCTATGGTGTCAATGAATTATAAAAAGGTAAATTGCTCAAATATACAATTAAACAGAAACCATTGTGCAAATATAATGGTAAAATGTATTTTTGTGTGAGCTGTCATTCTTGCACTAAGATGCATATATTTATTTATTTGTCATTACAATGTGTTTAAAATGTTCTATGTGTATGGATACTTAGGTGACATTAAGCGGTCGTGATACTGACAAAGGACTGTCATTGAGAATGATGAGTGCTCATATCTGTGCCATCCCCTCCAGTGAAGCTGAAGGTACAATATACTATAGTATATGTAGTACCTGTTATTATGTATCAAGTCATGCTTTCTTAAGTGTACATTGTGTGTACTTTAAACTTCCTTGTTCTTTTTAACACTTATAGATCTAAACTGTTTGGCACTCGTTTTCAATGAAACAACAACCAAAAGTAAAAGTAACACTGCGGTACGTCCAAGCTCAGCATTAACTAGTACTTGTTACTTGAACGACTAAATACAAATGCTTTACAGGAATCCAAAATCCGGACTAATAATATCAAGATTCGGTCATTAGAAAGTCGCTCGTTTACTGTGACGCTGGATAAGGACAGCCGTCGTGTTTACAAGGATGTTCAGAGGTGAGACATTTTTGTGTTTTTTTGTAAACTTACTTCAAATGTGTGGATTTAGACGGATACTCAGACAGTGTATACTATGTGTGTATTATTCTTTCATAAATTGTAATGCTATGGTATGTTATGGTATAGTATAGTATGTTGTGGTATGTTAATGTGTATGTCTTATTTTCTTTGTTGTGAAAGCATTGAGATCCTCCCATGTCTGGACCCCGGATACTGCGTACAGAAATCGATGAGGTCCAAGTTTAACACTGGGGAGGAGAAGGACGCAGGACTCAGCAAGTACATGAGCAAAGGACTTCCACTACCGATCAACACTTTCGCTGGCATCATCAACTGACTCCATGACACCAGCTGAAGGCCACGCTTTCAGACAAGCTGCTCTTCAAAACATTGTGTGTGAATGACTGGGATTTTTAAAATCCAGATGCCTCAAAAATACTAGATTTTTTTTAAATCAAAGACAAGAATTGCTTTGTAGTTTATGGTATTTGAAATCCATTTTTACCATGACAAATAGTGACTAGTGTTTTGATGACTCAGTCCTATACATTTAGCTGATCTGAGGCTAAATTTTGCTGTAGCTCTAATAAGTCCACACTACCTTTCACTTAAAGAACTTTCAGTACATACACTAAGAGGAATGCAAACCGACAGACAAATCACGTTTTAGAAATTGGGTCAAAAATGCAGCACTTGTGGTACAAAATATTTTTCAACCTTACCTTACTATAATTTAGTAGAAACTAATATTGAAACACCAGATTATTTACAGACTTTCACTTGTCACACATGTTGATGGTGAGTTTAAACCCATTTCAGATCAAAAGAAAAGTTCACCATTCTATATAAAGGTATAATCTATAAAAATAGATCTAAACTTGGTTCCATGTGAAACTGAGACATGCTTCAGGCCCATATGGCTGAAGTCAGCTTTGAATTTCACCTTTTATCTAAATGACATGACTGTTAAATGCTGTGTTTTGCACATTTTACATGAAGGAATTAGTTCTATTGATTTTGTAAATACATGAAGTTGTGTATATATTTTTTCTAATAAATGATTCCTCCGTATATTTTCTCTTTAGTGGGTTGCATATGTTAATTCCATCGTCCACCAGAGTGCAGTATTGAGCTTGTGTCAGGGGTAAATCGTTCAGGGACCCACACCTGGCGGTTCTGCACATCTAGGAGATCCAGAGCTGGAGAGGGGCTCGGAGGCAACAGCTGGAGCATTTTCTCCGGCTGTGAATCATCACTGCGTAATTCTACACAAGTGGACATAACCCTCTTAAACAAAAAAGGATACAAAGACACTGTCGCGCACTATAGTTGTAGATTTTACGGATCATGGAGAAGGAGCGACGATCATCTCATCAGTACGGTTCACTGGGGCGCACAGAACGGAGCAAGGAAGACGAAACAGCTGGTACTCGCGCTCAATACGCAATATAAGTTCATATATAGCTTAACTAAGATGTTCTAATCACTGTCACTGTTATTTAATGTATCTTTTACTGAGCATGCACGTGTGAATGTGAAAAGACTAGAGCAGTTTATCATATTATTAAACCTGATAGTCTGTAATTATTGACGTTCAATGAGCAGCGGAAATGTCAAGACTCCACAGGTGTCCGCGCTGTTGGAGACTCTGTCCGATTGTAAGAATGGCAGATTCGTGTCAGGTAAAAAGTTAGCGTGGAGAAAAGGTTTTGTAAGAAAGATGTGTGATACGTAACCATGGTTGTAATATTGGCATCAGGTTTACAATTATCGTTCATCAATAGCCTACTCACAAAATGTATCAGTCTTTTTTATATAAAGTTAATTAGGAGGCTTTTTTATGATTTATGTTGAAAGTTGCCTTGTATTAATCTCTATCACTCGCCATGCCCATGTTAAAGCTGCACTGTGTAACTTTTCCAATAGAGGGTCCACCACCTTTTTAACTCCTTGTTGTTTTTCCCTGAAATGTTCTACCATATGGCATTTAATTTAACTATCCCCATGGAGACAAGCAAGCCACATCACCAGGCGAAGTGACAAGTCGGGCCTGTGGAGAAGTGGATCCGCTCACAGAAACAATGCATCTTTTGCAATAGTTTTGAGAAATAAAAACAGCTGTAATTGAATAAAGATATATTTGTTTAATGTCATACTGTGTAACGTCCCAGGCAAAGCAATAACATCGCCATGGAGACAAGCTGATGGCAAACCTGAACCAGAAAAGTTACACAGTGCACCTTTAAAACTGTAAAACTAATTTCCATTTTCCGTATGATAATAGCTGGTTGTATTTACAGAAGTTTGTGGTCCTGCATTAGACTAACTATAGTAAGGCCTGCCAAGATAACACATTTGAACTGTGATTTACAGAAACAGTAATACTGAAACAAAACCAAATACTGAATTATCTATTCTAATTTCTGAATGTGCAATATTTTAAAAAGCACAAGCTGCAATAAATATATAATGGAATGCAATACCTAAGTAATTAGATGATATATTTTTAGCTCATAACTTAAACTTCTACAGCTGACATGTTACCATTTTCAGAAAAAAATACCAAAAATTACCACTAGTACAAAGAAAAAAAGTATTCATGTCACTATAAATATTACCCTCCAAAAATGATTGTTCCATCCGTCATGTATTGAAGTATAAGCATGGTATTTATCGTGATAGGACTAATTATAATATTTCTGTAAAAGTGATTCTACAAAAGCAAAGAGTGAAGGGAAATGAGGAAAAGGAGGAGAGCATGAGAGTGTACTGGTGATGACTCATGCAGGTACAGTGATGGAGACACACAGAGCTGCTGCAGCATTGTCTCCAAAAACTAAGCTCACCTCTGATAACAGCACTCTGCAGTCTGCACTTTAACACCTGGTCCATCTCCTCTAGCATCTTGTCTGTTAAGGAACATTTTTTTTCACCCCCTGATTGAAGAAAACACTATCAGTAGTCACGTAAATTATAAGCGATAAATATACTGTATGTACATCCGCTTTGAGCCTATAGTTGGAGAGAATCCAATACAATCCATACAACTGTGGCCATTAGACATGTAACAGCAACATCAATAATCCAAGGACTGGCACAGAGATGTCCATGGGTTGCACAATGACATAGCAATTAGGGATGCACCGATTCAGCTTTTTCAGTTCCAATACCGTAATCAGTACTTTGGCTTTAAGTATCTGCCAATACCAATATTATAATAATCAACCAATATTAAGACAGAGACTGAAATATATTTTATTTCCTCTAAACACAAATGACATATGGTAAAAATAACCCAATGTGTTTTACCACTGTTAATTATCATTTTAAGTAACTACAAAACAGCTTTGAAAAAGTAGTACATAGTCTTATTACACCAGTTTATAACTAAAATGTGACATCAGCTGAACCAATATTTTGGAACCAATATCTGATCCAGGAAAAGTTTAAATATTGACACAAATATCTGATAGCGGCATCCTATCGGTGCCTCCATAATGGCAATTAACAATTTAAAACAAAATATCTTATGAAAACTCCTGAAACTGTTGCCTAGGAAGGTGAAATTATGGATACATAAACAATACCTCGTGATTCATAAGTTTAATCTATACTATGGGACATTCTAGACAAAGCCATCACAATTCCATGGAGATAAGCAGGTGGCAGACCCTCCACTAGAAATATTACACAGTACATCTTTAAAGTCACTATTTCCAACCCTAACAGAGGTGACAGGTGCACCCACCCAAGAACACATTAAGGACAAACTCCACTCTGTATTCACCAGACCAGAAAATCCACTATTCTACCTTTACTGTCCTTGAAACTGTTTTTTTCTATAACAAAGCAGCCAGCGGTACCAAGAAAGCACAGTCACTTAAAATGTAATTAATGCTTGACACGTGCTGCAATGTTCTGTTTTTTAGTTTTGAAGTTCCTCCTTTGCTCTTCAGCCCTTCAGCAGTGTCTGACTAGAATAAATATATTTCCACTCTAAAATCACATAGGTTCTGCCCAAGACTGTATCCATGACTATAATACTTATTAGCTTTGGCGATAGGTACTTTATTATATTTGTAGATAGTTCAAGAAATTAGAGTAGAGTTACACTTTGAGGTTACCACACAAAAATCTTAACAAGAATGTTGCTACCAGTGTGCTACTTGAGTGTATGTGTGGTATTTTTCTTGGAGAACAAGTTAATTACACTGCATTATCTTCTGTCACAGACTGGCAAGCCATAATTGAGGCTTTTGGTGGTAGTAGTTTCGTGACTTAGCTAAAATGTTCAAATCATATTATGCTATGCTGTTCGAAATGGTCTACATTCATACCTTATACAATACAATAATTCTTATTATAACCTTATGTTATGTCAATCACTATTTCATCTGTGCACTTCCCCTTACAACCTCTTGTATATACAGATATATTTGTATTATATTACATGTCCAGCTACTGTGTCCAAATAATTTCCCTTGTAATTTCCCCAATAATGTGGCCATTATCCTTGTCAAAGCCTGACCTCATCAGATCTCAGAAGCTAAGCAGGTCTGGGCCTGGTTAGTACTTGGATGGGAGACCTCTGGGAAAATCAGGTGCTTCAGTGGGGCACCAGTGGTAAAAAACTGTCATTGTGTCCTTAGGCAAGACACTTCACCCACACTGCTTCGTATGAAAATGGTGTGAGTGTTGTTGTTTGTCTGAGGCACTGATGGGGCAGATTGACAGCCTCACTTCTGTCAGTCTGCTCTAAGGCAGCTGTGGCTACAATAATAGTGTATTGAATGAATGAATAATGCACCAAATTGTAAAGTGACTTTAAGAGTCTTAAAAAGCTCTATATAAGACTAATGCATTATTAATAACGTTTGTTTAAGTTTAAGTCAGTAAGTCTAAGTCTATTCAGATGAGGAGCAGTAACTTTGTATTTTTGTTTCAGAGGATGATGTGGTGTCCATGGCTGATTCCACGGTGACAGTGGATGACATCGAGGGAGAGTTGTATAAGATTGAGCGCATCAGGGACGTCCTTGTGAGGAGGGAGTCAGAGCTCAGATACATGCAAGTCCTACTGTCTTATCTTTAATATCATCAACACTCAGACCAAATACAGGCCTAACATGAGCACTTACAAGGAACTGATGGGTAAATAACAGGTTGCAAGATGTACAAATACTAAAGGTCCTGTATTATACAAAATTGACTCTTGTGAGTTTGAAGCCATATTAGAATTTTGTTACCTGGAGTTGTGTTGTGGTTCATTCACACATCTTTAAGTAAACTTTTGTTATTAATCTGTCCACTTCTCTAAAGATCAGAATACTCAGACCATCCTTATGATGTCATGTAGTGGTAGTTTGTCGTAGTTAACAGCTACCTTTTCCTTTAACAGAGATGGCAATTCCAGGAATTAATTCAAATGATTTTAGTGAGGATGCATGGAGTGCTTCCTGTATTGCCACATGACATCACCAGGTGGAACAAAATGTTTTCCGTCTAGTAGAAGAATTCAACCTAAATATACAGGGACTGTGTGTGAATGAAACAAAACACATCTCTTGGTATGTTTTTGATGGAGAAACATGATACCATAGATCATAAAATAGTGTGATGTCGACCCTTTGAAGTAGCTATGTCACCTGGTACTCATTACTATACACCTACACATCAATGAATATGTAAGTTGACTGGTTTCTCAAAAAACATCCCAGTTTTGGTCTCTTTTTCTGCCTTATTTCAAATTAAATTGCCATTTGGCTGTGCTATTATGACTAATGGGTGGATTTTTATTCATTATTTTGTTTTTTCTTCAGCAATCTGGCACTTACAACCAGGAGTCAGAAACATGCATAGAGTCAGAGACTGTTATTGAACTTTTTGTTACAGTTATGGCTATCAGTTATTAAACACTCAAAAGAAAAAAAATAAAATTATGTGTGATCTAGCTGTCATTGTTCAGATATAAAACTTGTCAAAAATGTGGCCTCTCAGGCCCTCTCTTCCCATTTTCAGTCGTGAGTTGTGTCATTGAAATCAAAAGCCTGTTACAGTGTTTCTCACCAGGAGGATGCCACTGAGATTGCTTCTTTGAAAAGACATTCATCCTGATTTCACTTTTCTTTAAAGTCTAGATTTCACCCTTTTTAATATTGTATGAGGTCTTTGCTTTGTTGACGTTACTCAGTGCATGGCTCTTATGTTCTTCCAGGATGGATGACATACAGCTGTGCAAGGAAATTACTCGTTTGAAGAAAGAGCTGCACAAATTAGTATCCATACCAGGTATTGCGCTCTCTCTCACTATTAAGAGTAAAGCTTTGGTTGAATTACTGCAGCACATACAGGCTTGTTTGAGAGAAAATGTATCCCTTTCCCAGGGGTTTATGACATGGCAATTTTAAAATTAAAAAGCTGGACAGTTTTTTGTAAGTGACACTCAGTCTGAAAGATTTCTTTTTCTTTTTTTTCTGTAGATAATGATAAGTCAAATGAGGATCGTCAAAAAGAGGAGGAGCTTCTGCAGCAGATCCATAAGCTGGTGGAGACCAGGGACTTCCTGGTGGATGATGTGGAGTTTGAAAGACTCAGGTGAATTACGCCAGTTATGGTCGGTACAGATGTGTTGTAACAATATCCAAATCTCATGGTATTGCGCCTCACTCTGTTATAAAACTGTGGGCAGGTAATTTCTTTGTTGGATGCGCTATAATATGACAGACATGAATATTGTGTACGTTCATTACATTTATGTGTGAGATATCCCAGTACAATATAATTTATAATCCTAAATATTGAGTTTTGATTTATGAATTTAATGTTGTTACCTCCTCAAAAACATACAATGAGTTGTGTTTTGTTTCATTCACACATGTTTATGTAACCATTTGCCATATGCTCTGTTCCACCTTATGATGTCATGTAGTGGTAGTTTTCAAGTTCGCAGCTACCTTTTTGTCTTTATTTCAGTAGAAATTGGTCATTCCAGGACTGAATTCATCCAAATGATTCATGTGAATGTGGTTTGTGTGTTAAACATGTGTGAATGAAACAAAACACTACTCCAGGTATGATTTTGACAAGGAAATAGCATTATAACATACATCAGAAAATAGCATAATATGGGCCCTTTAAGGAAATGCATAGAATTTGCCAGGGTAGAACATTTGGCAGAAACCAGAGCCACTCTTGTATATTGTCTGTGCTGCATACATTTAAAATAATTTCACCCGTATGTCATATGTTTTGAGCAGGGGATCACCTTTAAAATGAATACATTGCACGACAAACCACCAGTGTAGAGCAGTTAAGACTCATGACAAATCACTACTAATATTTTCAAACACTTGAGAAAATGCAAACCAAAGGCAGTTTTTCCCAGTTGCAGTACACGTGAACAGAACTCAGAGTTAGTGTGAGTGTGCAGAATCCCACAGGGCTGATGGGGGACCAGAACACGGTGCAGACTAAAGAGAAGAAAACCTTTAATCATTCATTGCAAAAACACTGGATTTTGTACGTGTTTAAATTAATCATCCTTCATTCATACAACAAAACAAACCTTTGCAGACTTGAAGCTTTATTTTGTACTGAATAATGCTGTCTTGGTTGAACAGATCAGTGTGATTCTAGTGTTGCAGAGCTCAAAAGAGAAAATCATCAAACACATTTTTTCCTTTAGGTTTTTCCTTTGCAGAGCTCAGATTCAAATGATCCTCATCATATTCAATATAACTCCTTGTTCTGTAGGAGTTATTATATTAAGTCTTTTCTTCTTCTTGGCTTTGTGGCTAGCAACTAAAACCATGGTAACTTTGCACAATTGGAACCTACGATGCACAGTATATCACAATATTCAACTTTTTTTACACACCCGCCAGCTCTGCTTCTTCTCTGTTCCCAAGTCCCTGTGTTTCTAAATTCACCTCATTCATAGACATTAGTTTAGGCTCCATTTGAGTCATTTTCAAAGGGATATTTTCCATTGAATTGTTAATTGCTATGGCAACTGTGCTAATTTTTTATCATTTGGAAACCCATCAATCGTCTCAGTTTGTGCGCCTTTCTTTTAAATCTTATGAATCCCATCATTGCATTGTATTGTCAAATTAGTATGAGCGCAGAGAATGCATTAATATGAGTGCAGAGAATATTACAAAAGAATCCTAATATATTTCTTATGCTTTATTAACAATATGACTGCTACTATATTCAAAGCATGACTGTCTGTGCATATGTAAATTTTACAGGGAAAAGGAGGAGGACAAAGAAATGGCAGATTTCCTCAAGTCCAAATTCAGCCCCAGAATTACCAGCACAGGTAACTTTTAACTATAGAGCTTGGGATCAAAAACCCCGACCCAAATGTTCATAGAGATGCATTAACCAAAGCAATGTAAAAATATGTGAATGAACACTAAGTTTAGTATTTAGTATATTGAAATCTAAATTGGTTTAAAGGTCCTATATTACACAAAATGGATTCTTGTGAGAGTTAAGACATGCTATAATGCTGTTACCTCCTCAAAAACATACCTGGAGTTGTGTTTTGTTTCATTCACACATGTAATGTAGAATCCTAGTTTATGAAGCTGGAGATTTCAAGTCAACAGCTACCTTTTTTGTTCAGTAGAGATTGGCAATTCCAGTGAAGAAATTATCAAAATGATTCTAGTGAAGGTGTGTGGTGAGGACACAGTGGAGCACTTCCGGTATTACATGTGTGAATGAAACAAAACACAACTCCAGGTATGTTTGATGAGGAAACAACATTATAACAGATCAGAAAATAGCTTAATATGGGTCCTTTAAAATTAGGCCAATGGACAGTTCTATGAGATGACAAAACAAACCTGAGCCCTACTACTGAGTCATCACTTTCTTGTGTCATTTTCAATTTCTTGTGTTTAAGATCACACATATGCTTTTTATTCTTCCATAGGTATACCAAGACGCCATGTCCCAAACAGGGCCCAACAGTCTTCCTCGCCTTTCACTAAAACTGGACTGACTCTGCTGAAAGAGTGCTGTGGATTCACCTGCTCTGTAATGTAAAACACTGATGAAACTGTTACTGGATTAAACCTTTGGACTTCTACAGTTCCTTTAAGGCAACATTTAAAGGTGTATTATGTAACTTTTCTGCTGGAGGGTCCGTCAAATGGTTTTCTTCATAGAGATGTTATTGCTTTATTTGGAATGTTTCACAGTAGAGTATTAAACCTATTTCTATCTTCATGGAGACCAGACCAGGTAGAGCTGTTTAATGTCCATAGAAAGAAGCAGGTCACCTTTCACCAGAAAAGCTACACAATGAACCTTTAAGATAACTATGAAGAGGTGGACAACATGGGCATTATTCTATGTGCAGCAAAATGCATTTGTTTTTGTTTCGCACAAGTTTCTTCTGGTATTTGCTCATTAAAAGTTGCTGCTGACATGCTGCAAGACCCTTATAATTAGCTGCAAGGAGATAACGCAAATGGAAGTGACAGTCTCAAAGTGCAGAAACTCAGTGGTGACTTGGCTTCGTGTTCTAATGGGTCTGGCCTTTGTGGGGGCGAAAAAAGAGAGACTAAACTAAGACATTTCTCAGTAGCCTATATGTGATGTTTTTGTTCAATATAAATGTTGATGTATTTCAGGTATGGAGAAATTGTGCTTCAGTTTTGTGTCTGTTCGAATCGAATATTAAACTCAGACTGTTCCACCTCTGTGACTTCAAAAAGCCTTTAATATGAAACTGTTTCTTAATGAGCTCTGGTTGCAGTTCTAAACACTCTGTTCAACTAAATACAGATCGTACATTACATTTTATTTGTAACTGTATTATTAAATCACTTGTAAATGTTATTAAAGTATCAGATGTTGTGTATTATTTTACTTCATGGTTTGACATGGGCAGCAGATTTGACATACATAGAGGTAATTTCATGACAGCTACACACTAATCATACTGAGCAAGGGCCAAAGCCTTATTTACACATGGTTATTTATTATCTAATTAATAAACAACATTTTATTTTTTATGTTGAAACAGTCAGAGAAATGTGTCCTTATGGCATAAATTGGACATGTCAAACTCAGGCCTGGGGGCCAAATTTGACCTGCAATATAATTATATTTGGCCTGTGAGATCATATCAAATATGTATTAGAGCTGGCCCGCCAGCTACAGATAGACTATCAAGACATTATCTATTTAAAATGTTGTTATTATTTTATAATATGCTTGTCCTGGATTCAATGTTTAAGCAAAGCTATGATTAAACATTTATTTTAATAAGAAAAGGTTTCATATTACATATCAAAAGAAGAGAAAACATGTAGATGTTGTTGAACATTTTCAATAAGTATTTACTTTGGCTCGTGACTTAGTCCCAGTTTTTAATTTTGGCCCTCTGTGAATTTAAGTTTGACACCCCTGGTATAAATTGTCCTTACTTGTTGGATAGAATTGTGTGTATTATTGACAAAGATAGAAGGATTTTGTTTTTGGCTGGTGTATAATTTTGTGTATATATAACAATTTAGGCCCTATCCCAGAAAAACATGAAAACCTCTTACATGCATTAAAATAAATTGTTTACATCTTAAAGGTCCTATATTACATAAAACTGACTAAAATCAAAAACATACCTGGACTTGTGTTTTGTTTCATTCATATATGTTTGAGTAACACTTTATTATTAGTCTTTCTACAACTCCAGCTCTCCAGAACTTTTTACCTTTAGTTCAGTGATTGGCAGTTCCAGAGCTGAAATTATCCAAATTATTCTAGAGAAGATGTATGGAGTTTAAAAATACAGCACACACAACTTCTGGCATGTTTTGATGAGAAAACAACATTAAAACATAGATTAAAAAATTGTGTATTATGGGCCTTTTAATATGTTGTTGAAAGCGCCCATACACCTCTCCACAGATTCTATAGGCTACATGTTTTTCTGCACACACCCAGGACTTGTAGATAAAACGGCCACTCTGATGGGTTCTTGTATGTTTCCAGGAGGATGGGTCACTATGGCAACCTTCTACACCTCATGTGTTTACACAGAAATATATGGGATCACAGAGTTCATGCAAGGCAGATGTGTGACAGAGCATGTACAGAATAATGTGGCTTTGGGTTTTTTCATGTCGGGTATGTGAAAAACAAATACCCATGCAGTTTTAAGGAATTCTTTTCTTAACATTACAGCGTTGGATCATGTAGCTGTCCAGAGCTGGTGTCCTGGAGGTTTAGCCATACCTGTACTGGATGAAAAAAATATAATATTGAATTTAAATAACAAGTATAATGTTTGTTTGTTTGTTTGTTTGTTTTTATAAATCTCTACTGAACAAATGGTAAAAGCTGTTAACTTGAAAACTACAATTTCATGACATCACAAGTTGGAACAGGGCATTCTGAGCTTTAGAGAAACAGGATTACTCAAGCATGTGTGAATGAAACAAAACACAACTCCAGGTATGTTTTTGATGAAGTAACAACATCATAACATGTCTGAAATCTCACACAAATAAAAACAAAGACGCAAACTAAAATAAAGAAAAAGAAGAAAAATGAAGAAAAAATTGGCACACATTCACCCTCTCAACACTGAACTAAAAAGTAATTTCATCTTTATACACACACACACACAAACAACAAAGAGTTAGAGGAGTCTTACCAAAAGGCACAAAAACATCAGGGACAAAGTTTGATTAATCAGTAGGCAAATGTTATAATTGACAGCAACACCATTTTATCAGTTTTGAATTTTTGCCACAGGCTTTTAGTCATGTCAAGTGCAGCTTTCCCATCTGCCTTTGAAAAATATTTTATGGAGAAAAAATGGTTGTAATGGTTGACTTGAAGTTGGGGGGAAGGGACAGCTCTTAGGGAGGTCCTCTCTTCCACTGTGAGTCATCCTGTGTGATGCTTCGAGTTCCCACAAGGCCAGAGCTCAGTGAACGTCACATGAAAAGGCCATGTCTGTCAATAATGCAGTATATGAAGGCTATAGTGTGCGTTCCTGATTTTGCATTTTTGAGACTTATGAAATGTGTTTGTGTGTGCCACTGAGGAGGATAGTTCATAGTCTATAGGCGCTCCACAATGGCTAAGTGGTAGCGTCACATTCAGCAGATGACAAGGCTTTGTTACTATGGTTACAGTGGTTTGATGGTATACTGGTTTCATTTAGTAACTCTGTCTGATTCAGTGGAATGCTGAGCAGAGGGGTATTCACTTTGCTTTAACATAATATCAATAATATAAAATACTCAATATTTCAAATGCAAATATCTATTACTGCAAGTCATGCAAAATACAACATTTAACTTATCTCCATGGAAACATGCAAGAAGTGACTCCACTCACCATAAGAATGCATACGTTTCAACATATTTTGAGCTATAAAAAACGTAATTGAGTAAATGTATATAAGATAAGATACCATGACGCCATACCATTCCAGGCCAATAAATTACACCTCCCTAATGATGGGCCACACACTGGAAAAAATTACATAGTGCATCTTTAAAGACTTGTATGTTTGCTAATGTTATGGAAAACCCCCCCTTTCTTAATTCACTTTGCTGAGTCTGTTGTGGACATAAAACAAAGAGAAGGTCTTGTGTTTACATTATGGAAGTGGACTTTACAGGCTATTCATTTTGCATTTTTATCATATATGTGCAGACCTGCTCATTCGTGACAGATTGATGGTCCCTGAGCTGGTAATGAGAGAGGCAGTAGTGCTTTACCATAAAGTCTGTGCCTCCCTAATGCAGGAAATACTGATAATTTCCTGTCTTTAAAAAACAACTCTGAGTCACGCTCCAATCAACCTCCCTTTCCTCCTCCGTGAGTGTCACTTCTGCTCCTCCAAGCTTTTGGCTACAGGATGTCTCTAATACATGTTTAAAGATGCAGTGGTTGTGCTCTTGTTTGTGTTTTTCATTAATTTTAGCAGAACTTAAAGTCAAAACAATTAATATTAAAACTAATTCAGTTTTTTTAATAGTCTTTTTTCCCCAGAAGAAGTATTGATAGCCTATTGAACTGGTCACGCTTTAGTTCAACTGAATTCAATTAGGCAAGTAAGTGCATTGTGTATGATGATCATTCTTATGGATTTTTATATATAGTTTCCCCCCTCTGGTGTCACTGCTTGTTGTGCTGATAGTCTTATAGACCTACAGACATGGCATGTATATTCAGTTAATTAATTCATTACGCAACGGTTGGAGAATGCAATATTTATGCTTTATTTTATATGTTGTTCCCCTCCCGTGGTTATTGTCTCGTTCATCAGATTCTGACTCATTTGGGGCTTAACATCAGATTTACATTTTCATGTATTTTTTTAGATTCACATTATTTTTTCTTTATCTAGCCTATTACTACAATTTAAACGATGGGAGAGAGACCTCTAAACTATTCCACATGCATGCCACTGTATGGTAGACATGCAGACTGTGTGGTATTAACGCGACTGAGCACAGCAGAGGACCGTACAGTCAATGAGAGGGCCAGCACAGTAGCTCTCTGCTTCTATCTAGTGGTCACCTGCCCGAATTACAGCCCGGAACACACAGCAGTACCAGGCTTTCCGCCAAGTTGAGTCACACGTCAGTAGGGAACCTGTACGTGTGCGCGGACGTGTGCAGCACGTCGTGCGTTTCCCGGATGCACCAAACACTAACATGGATCGAATAGTGATGGAAGTTCCGATCAAGAACGGTGAGGAGTACAAGTAATTGTTAATGCCACAGCTTTTCACCACACTCATGAACCGCTATAACGTGACCTGCGTGACCAACGGGCCCGCGGCGTAACTAGTCCAAACTGCGACCCACGAGCTCGTCTAGTACGCCTCGCCAGCCCAGCCTGTCCTTTGTAGGTTTCAACCATGTGATGTTTGATTAAACTCGGGGTTAATGCTTGCAAACTGCAGCTAAAGGCTTTAGTGGAACTTCTATTCACAAGTCACGACTTCGCCTTACCCCAATGTTGTTATGTGCCCTGGGTGAGAAACAAAACTCTGAAATTTAGCCAAACAACAAGCTCTGGCTGGAGTGCAGAAATAGGTTTTAATGTGGTTACTTGAAGTAGAATGGCACCAGTGGCACACTCACTTTACTAATCCTACAATAACTGCTTACTGCGCATGTAGGCTACAGACTGTGGCATTATGATGATCAGTGGAGCCTTGTTTTTAGAGACATCACCGTTTAGATCTAGAGTTTTTACAGAGCTATGCCGAATAAAGCGCCTTGGTCATGTTCCCTCAGAGTTCCCCCTCACAGGCCTATCTACAACTCAAAGAAAGCGCCAGGTTCGATTCTCCGCTCGCCATGACATTCTTCTTCTTAGGGAAGTGATTGCACAGAACCCATTTGCCTCCAAAGAATCAGGTATTTACAGAGTAATTTCCAGAAATAACTGCTCTAATGTGATATATAAAAGAAGGTCAACATATAGGATGATGTTTATATCGTACCAGGGAAGATCTGGGCCCGTGTGGGGGAGATCATCACTGCTGCTCTTCAGGATGAGAGCTTTGAGGTGGATGCTCGGAGGTGCAGGGAGAGGACCATGCTGCTGCTGGACTACTACAAGAAACAGGATTTTACCAGTCTGCGGAGGTGACCTTCTCAGACCTTCAGTTTGATGTTATGATTAGAGTTTAGGACCAAATGTGCGTATGGTTTTGTCTTCAGGTTTGGCTCAGAGAGGTTGTATGCCCAAAAAGAGGATTTGTTACATGAGGTTCTGGAGCTGGAGGCTGAGAGGGGAGCTGTCATCAGTGGGGACAGTATAAAATATCAGGTAAATATACAAATATTTTTATGTTTATAACCCTGCACACAGAAGTTAACATATTTTTCACACCTCAGAATGAATTTAATGTTATTTGCAGACATGATCATTATAGAGAAGATAGCTAAACATATGTATTAATCTGTGTTATTACTATGTTGTTCATTGTTATCATATGGTGCATTTTCTGGTGGTCTTGCTTCTCTCCTTGGGGACGTTATGTCTTTGTCTTTGGAATGTTCCACAGTATGGCATTAAATTTGTGTATATTTCATTTATACAAAGAAAACAAAAACAAGCTTGCCTCTCCTCAGATTCACCCTCTCAAAGTAAGGCCAACCAAACTTTACTTTTCTGATTGTGATTACAGGATGAAGAGCTGAACAAGAGGGCCATAGAGGAACTCACACTGCTGGAGCAAGAAAAACCTACACTGACACACACAACTCATGCAAGTAAGACACTCAGCCTGATTTAAAACAATCAGAAATACAGAAGGACCAACACATTCAGAAACAGCCTACTAATTCACCCTATTAATACAAAAGGAAAAAACTATGGAAGAAATAGAAACTTATGAGTCTGACACAAATCCAAAATTACATGTTCTGTAAACTATTTGATAATTCATCAAAGTGGAATCAAAACACAAACCAAACCTATACATCTGTACGGTATCATTGTTTTATGTTTAATCATGGGTATTATTGTAGCTGCTGTATACACAAATACTTTATTCCCTTTATTTTGCAGGCTTCTCAAAACACAGTTGTTGATCTTGTGGTTGCATATCTGGTCACATCCTTAGTAACAATGTCACAAACCAATAACTATTCATATTCTGCTCGGTGCCTCCTAGCCGATGGAGAGGAGGAGCACGAGGAGCTGGCGGAGCTTTCGGCGCTTTCGGCTGCACCAACTGCCAAGCGTCCGTGCCAGTGCTGCTGCCAAACCTACTCTGAAATTCTCAGTTTTCTGGAGAAACGCTCTGAGTCCGAGCAAAGGCTGAGAGAGGAAGAACTCGCCCTGCGTCGTGAGGAGCTGGAGATTCAAAGGAGTATGTGTCTGTATGCACTGTATTTGACTGTGTATTTGTATAATAGTATCATGACAAATTTTCATATTACTTTTTAGGTAAGATTGCTTTAGAAAGAGAACGTCTGGGATCTGAAAGACGAGAACGAGAACGCAGATTTGAGCTGGAGAGCCAAGAGAGGCAGGTTATTCTGGATCTGCTCAAGGAGAAAGTGCTCAAGAGTTAATACAACTGTTCTACATTCAATAAATGACTGTGTTATTTAATTATTACAAGAGAGACAGGGTGCTAAAAGGTGTGGTGACCTAGTTATGACAATAACAAATCCACAATGCAAGGGCTTGTTTTAAAGTAATAAAACGAACAGTAGATGCTGAACAACTTAAATGATAGACATTGACTTGAACATTTAATTACATTTTCAAGAGGTGGGTACTGGGCAGTTACATTTAGTTGAGTAACTTATTAATAAAAGTACTTCTCTGAGTAGTTTTCAGACCCTGTACTTTTACCTCTACTTGAGTAATATATTTCACAGTAACAGTAGCTTACCATTGGGCTACTTGGAAAATTGTTTTGGGTACTTGTTTGGATATTAAATGATTTTAACATTTGTGTTTATGCACCTCTCCTTTGGATGTAATAGTGTTTTTTTTGTTTTTTTTTTTTTTTTTTTTTTTTTTTTTCATTTTTCTTGTTCTCTGCCCTTTTGTCCTTCCAATAGGCTATATGAAATTCAATGTGCAGAAACGACTGATTGTTCTTGTTTGTATTGTATAGTAATGTAAATAAAATACTAATTTTGAGTTTACAAACTTGTGTGGAGTAATAATCTGTTTTCCTGATGGTGATTGGTCCATTGGTCTCTATCACGTCTTCTCTGATTGGCTGTTGTTTCACCAGTTCTTCCTGCTCCTCCATCCAATGAGCGCGTGGTCGCGTTGCTCTGCTGCTATTGCTGTGCTACAAAGTTCACAGTTGGCCCGTCTGAATGTAATTCTCTAAAGTTATTCTCTTTCAAGTCTGATTTTTAACCTGCTCGCATCATCAAAGCCTCACGCGCGGACTGGGGACTGGAGATAAACCCGCAGGAAACTAAACCTTGGAAATGTTGTCGAAAGTACGCTGGTCTTTTTCCGTTCCCCGATGTAGTTGTGAATTTTTGGCATAATTTCAAGAAGAGCGTCTTTGTTTTCTCTACTGGACTTGTCTCCGATTGCTTTGTGCTTTTGATCCATCGCCTTGGAATTTCTTTTTTACTTTCTCAAACTAGCAGGCGTATATAATCTTACTTATTTAACTGGAATATCAGTAGAAATATCCGGACAACTGTAACTAAACGTTACATTTCTTGCTCTTCTTATTGAGCAACATGCCCATTAGGCGTTTTGGGGGTCACAAGTCTTTGGTTTCTCATTCTCCTAAACTGTCTTATGGTTACACCAAAATGAATATTTCAAAGAGTGGCTACCGCGTGTTTTCTGCCAACTCCACCACCGCGTGCACTGAACTGGCCAAGAGGATCACAGAGTAAGTGACAACCAACTTCACATGTGTAATAAGACAACTGTTACAGCACAGGAATAGCAAGTAATATTAAGTTATTTTATTCGTACAGGTGGGCTACGAATACGGCTATATTTGGAGTTGCATAAGGATATAAAATAGTAAACAGAGGATTTGAATTTCCGTCTTAACATTTCACAAACACAATAGATTAAATAATCGACTCTTGGTAATGTTTTTCTGGGACAAGTACTAATAACATTCCTGTGGACTTGTGGTAGAGTAAACTGGGTGAGGCTGATTTAGGCTGGTGGATGTTGCTCTGCAGGATCCAGGCTGCATGTCAGGACAAAGGCACCCAGCCAAATTTAGCTTGATTACAAACAAGATTTCTTCTTTCTAGGATTTATCTTAAAGCCCTGCTGTGTAACTTTAGCCAAAAAACTAACAGTAACAAAATCATCTCCATGCTGTTTTTCTGGTCTAAAGGATGTCCTCCACCTGCTTGTCTCCATGGAAAAGTTGTCCCAATGGGCTATAGCCCATTGTAAGACATACACTTTTCCATCTCCATGGAGAATATTCCAAAGCCTGGTTTCAACTTCCTATTTCCATATGCAAACCCCAGAAAGTTCTACTGTGTTGTTTAATGATTTTTATCGTATATATGTTGTGTCCACAGGCGGTTAGGTGTTGAGCTGGGCAAGTCTGTCGTATACCAAGAGGCAAACAGAGGTGAGCTCATGTTTTTTGCATAGTCACTGCAAGTCATATTTGTGGCCTGATATTATATTTATCTGTGGTTCTTTGCAGAGACTCGAGTAGATGTGAAAGAGTCCGTCCGGGGGCAAGACATTTTCATCATTCAAACTATTCCAAGGTGAGACTCAGTTCTAACTTTAGAAATATTCTATGGATCTTGTTTTTTTTATTTTTTTTATTTTTTATATCTTTTAATACAATAAAAAATAGCAGGTTACATAACACAATGACCTGTTTTTAGTCCCTTTGTTTGCTTTTCTGTCTTCAGTAGGTGATGTGTTTGCTCATCCAGTATGTTGATGACCCCAGGATACATAACACATAGAGATTTAACAGGCTTTTATAATCCATGTTTTTCAGGGATGTAAACACTGCTATAATGGAGCTGCTCATCATGGCATATGCCCTGAAGACATCCTGTGCCAAGAACATTATTGGAGTTATTCCTTACTTTCCATACAGCAAACAGTGCAAAATGAGAAAGAGAGGCTCCATTGTTTGTAAACTACTGGCTTCGATGTTGGCTAAAGCTGGTAAGAGCCAAAAGAACACATTATTCTATGAGTGTTAAAGGCCCCATATTACACTATTCTGATTTATGTTTCCTCATCAAAAACATACCTGGAGCTGTGTTTTGTTTCATTCACACATGTTTAATACACAAACCTTCCATGTTTAGGGGAGGTATTCACTCTGTTCCACTTTGTGATGTCACGTGGAAATACAGAAAGTGTGTTTTAAACTCCATAAACATTCACTAGAATCATTTGGATAATTTCCACCCTGGAATTACAAATCTTTACTGAACAAAAGGTATAAGATATATGTTAACTTGAAAACTACAACTTGATGACACCACAACACGGAACAGAGCATTTTGAGCTTTGGAGATGTAGACAGACATAATAAAGGATTACTCAAACATGTGTAAATGAAACAAAACACAACTCCAGACTTCATATTTTTGATGAGCTAACAACATTATAACATGGCTTAAAGATCACAAGAGTCCATTCTTTGTAATAGGACCTTTTAATGCGAGATCTGTCATTTTATGCTGTAATTTGTATTCAGGTCTGACTCACATCATTACCATGGACCTTCATCAAAAGGAAGTTCAAGGCTTCTTCAGCTTTCCTGTGGATAACCTGAGAGCATCACCGTTTCTCATTCAGTATATCCAGGAAGAGGTGGCAGTGTTTTAATGAATCTTTATATTTTATTGAATGCAAATATGATATATGAATGCAAAAATAAATGTTATGTTTTTTCTTTCAAAGATCCCTGATTATAGGAATGCAATTATTGTTGCCAAGTCCCCTTCCTCCGCCAAAAGGTAAGTAATCCAAACACACAGTGACGTTTTGAAACCATACAACTTTTATTATCACAAAGTGTTTACTGCATTATTATATATATTTTTTGTCTATTGTTTCTGTTAAGTTAGTTGCTTAATTTATGAGTAGTATAGTAGAAATATATTTGCTTAATTGCCTAAAGAGAAAACATGTACAGCTCAAAATATCAGCAGTTTGAACTGTACACCAAGAAATGTAATCTGGACATACTGTATTTTGCTATACGTATTATTCCATAATTTACACAAGAATTAATAATCATAGCTTATTTAGATATATTTTAGGTATAATTACAGGAATATCACCCTTTATGTCACTACACTTATTTCTTTGAATGTGCAAGTTGGACAATAAGACCACTGGTGAATTGGCTCTATGATTATGGATAACTAATCTTTTCTATTGCTGTTCACAAATGCACTGCATAACAGTTCTAGTGGACAATCCTCCACCTGCTTGTCTCCATGGAAATATTATTGCTTTGTCTAGAGTGTCACAGTATATATTAAGCCTATCTATCACAAGGGAGACAAACAATAGAAACAGTCGGAATGAATAAATGCTAGATCGATATGTTTAATGTTTACCATGGAGCATTTCTGGGAAAGTAATAACATCTCCATCAAGACCATAAACAAGCGGACCCTTCACCAGAAAAGTTGCGCAGTGCACCTTTGTTCAAATACATTTCCAAAACCTTCATACTCTGCAGTCCACACTTTTCTTCCTGTGTAACATTATCTAATACGTGTCTTTTCCCATTTTTGTCTCAGAGCTCAGTCGTACGCAGAGAGACTGAGACTTGGCTTGGCAGTGATGCATGGAGAGGCCCATCACTCAGAGCTAGACATGGCTGACGGCCGCCAGTCCCCCCCCCTCTCCCGCACCAGCACAGGGCACACTGGCCTCGAACTGCCTGGTGAGACACATGCAGATAATTCTAATCCTGGTCAAAATATCACTTGTTTATGATTTCTCCCGGTACAGAGATTTGAAACAGTCATAATATGTGACAAACCTTTTTTTGAAGGAATGTGCATGAAGCCACTATCTCATATGTACACAATTTTATATCAAGTAAAAGCCTTTCCTTTTGGAGAATAATATTAAATGTAGACCAGTCACAATAATTACTACAGTGATATGTTATTCTGAAATTTATAGCTGATAGTATTAATGTTTTTATTATTATTTTTTAAATCGATACACATTTAAAAAAGGATTTACTGGGAATACCCTTGTTTTTGGTTTAGTGAATAAATTATTATTATTAATCCTGATATTTTATGTAACAATATAACATCCAAATTTGGTATTGGGAAAGACCTTGTTAAATATATCTGACTAAAGTTGAAATACCAGATGTAAGCATTGTTGTTGATCATAATGTTGTGTGTACATATGTGTGATGTTTAAGGTTATTTTGGGGTTTGTTTATTAAAGGTCCTATATTACGCAAAATTCACTCTTGTAAGCTTTAAGCCATGTTATAATGTTGTTACCTCCTCAAAAACATATCTGGAGTGTTTGAGTTTCCTTATTAATAGTGTGTCTACATCTCCAAAGCTCAAAATGCTCTGTTCCACCTTGTGATCTCATGAAGTTATATCGGCAATTCCAGGGCTGAAATCCTCTAAATGATTCTAGTGAAGGTGTATGGACAAAGTGGAGAATTTCCTGTCTTACACATGTCATCTCGAGGTGGATCAGAGCATTTCCTGTCTGAGAAAAGAACTCAGCCTAAATATGCAGGGTTTGTGTGTTAAACATGTGAATGAAACAAAACAAAAGTACATCGTGTTATGTTTTTCATGAGGAAACAACATAACATAGATCAGGAAATAGCGTAATATTGGCCCTTTAAGACCAGCTGCAGTGGGTTGAAGAGGTGCTGAAATACTGCCAGTGCTACCTGACACAAGTGTTTTTTCTCCTCAGCCACATCCACTTTCCACCTCATTTCACCCACTTCCTCCTCAGCAGTTTAAGCTGTCTCTTGCTTTCTGCCAGAGTCTCCTCACTGTCTTCTTTTGTCACTTTTATGTGTTTGTCTTCTTAATTTATGTTTTATTATCTTTGCTTCCACAGGCATCAGACATCAGATCCCTTTCCCTGGGATAGAGCTCCCAAGTATGATTACTATGGCTGAATGCTGCCCTCTGGTGGTTGTGTGCCTCCCTGCATGAACTGACCGAATAAGTTCTAGATTCAAATTAATTTTCAGGAAATCAAAAACGATACAAATGCATGGGCATACTGTTTCAAATCTTTTTTAATTTAACATTGCAAAGTTTATTATTTCAGTCCTATTAAAAAAACTAAATTGTACAGCTTGTAGAGTCCGTACATGCATCATATTTCAAACACTGGTGCTTAATGTAATTAGTTTTTGTACGATACTTTAGTTATTATTTGAACCATTAGTGTATTTTCATATATTAAAGTATCAAATCTATTCTAGTTTGCTCCTTACAATCATGTAGGAGCGCAACATAGGCCTGTCACGATATGTATTATTGACTTATTGGTCAGTACAAGACAGATGGGTGTCAATATTTATTGAATTTATCTAGTATTTTTTTGTTTTGTTTTGTTTTTGGTAATTATTTCTATACAGAAAAATCCCACACACCGTCTTACTTGCAAACTGTGAAATTTATTAGGACAAACTGTGCAACGTTTCGGCACTAGGCCTTCGTCAGGCCTCCAACGCACCCGTCTCTAGTAGTTGATGTGCGAGGCTCTCATTCTCTCATCTGGTAATTATTTCTGCAATATGATACAAATTTAGCTGTAGAAGCTTGAATTATGAACTAAAACTACATTTATTTAGAATTCAGAGTGGATAATTCTGCTTTAGTTTGGCTTCAATATTATCCTTTATCATCTTCTTTAGCAATATATCTCATTTAAAGATTTATCGTGACAGTATCGTGATGGTATTGATATTTTGTTGCTGATGTCATCAACATTCGCTGAGGATGTGATGCTAACTGTAGGCTCTGCTCTGTCTGTGGCTTTAATCAGTTCTTTTTTAGTGTTAAAATAAAGCAAATTACAGTCACAGGCTATCTAGCATTAGTTTTTCAGTTACTCACACTCACCATTTTAACACCTAAACAGGACCATGAATGCTTGTATTGATCACAAGCTCCTAAAAATGTGTTGCTTAAATCTTTCTTGTATTTTCAGATAATCTTAAAACTTTTTTGACAGTGTTGGCTAATGTGTCCATTGTGTCACCATGGTAACTCCTAAACATTCCACTATTAGAAACACACATGGAACACCCCCAGCGTTATGTCACTGCAGAGTATCAATAACATTAGAAAGATGAACAGTCCACAGCGGCGTAGGCGTACTCATCAGTGTCCATTCACTGCACCTCAGTTTGTTTGTATTTGCTAAGACGGTACAAAAAGTTTTTTACATTACATCATCTTAGTTCAAAGGCTGCGTACTTGAAGTGGTAGCCCTGAAATTGCTTGTTCTTGAATGTAACTCTTACTTGCCCAATAATTGAGTTTGATTTGCGATTTGTTTACATCCATATCCTTATGTAAAACGTTGGGAGGTGTGCCTGTTAAAGTTCTGAAAGATGCTTTGCTGCTGTGTGAAGGTGATGGCTTGGTCAGGGCTTCATGTTGCTGGAGTCCTGATGAGTGTGCTGGGATCTGGACCTGGGTCGATTGTTAATTATTAAAAACCTTTGAATCATATAATATTTGTCACAATGAGAAATTTATGCACAACTTTATCAACATGCCTGAAATTTATGGTGTGAAGGGTCGATCCTGGTCTGGTGATTTCAAATATATTCTAATTTACACATCTACCACAGAGTTTAAACATATCGCTGTCCACCAAGGTGCACTATTAGGGATGTAACGATATCCAAATCTCTCGTTACGATGTTATCATGATATGCATCTCACAGTACGATATTTATTGCGATATTTTGGAGAGGCTGTTATAATTGTAGATAGGACACATTTTTGCTTTTAAAATACCGTGACAAGATTTTGTTGTGAATTATTACTGTCATAATCTCAAGAATTCAAGTAAAAAAACATATTACTTCATATTGTCTGTGCTGAAATGAATCATGGGATATGTAGTTCCTGATGTTTATTAGATATTACTACTAGAAAAAAATTTATTTAAGCATAGGAACTTCAAGGAACAATTTGATATTATTGTGAGATTTTTGACTGTTTGATATCATAATATTTCTGTTATTGTTACATCCCTACGCACTATGCATCTTTTTGATAGTGGGTCCATCCCCTGCTTGTTTCTACGCATATGCCATTGCTCTTCCTGGAATGTTCCACAGTATGACATTAAACATTTTATATTTATTCAATTGCGTGTGGTTTTATAGCTTGAAAAAAAAGGCATTCTGACTGTGAGCGGGATTGCCTCTACATAGATTTGCCCTCTGTCTATTTGGTCTCCATGAAGATAGACGGGTTTAATGCCATACTGTGAAACATTCCAGACAAAGCAATAACATCTCTTCACCTCAAAAGTTACACAATGCATCTATAAAGATTTCTGAACCACCTGGACAAAATTGGTTTCGAACACATTTGTGGTAGCTGGGTAAGTGTAGCTGGTTTGCATGACTTTTGCAGGTTTTGACCTAATTCCCAATCAATTTATAATTTCTTTGTCCTCATAAGAGTAATTCTCCATGAATATTTAATTAACTTTTTACAATTTGCTCCCTTTTCAGTTATGATGGCAAAGGAGAAACCACCAATCACTGTTGTTGGAGATGTTGGAGGCCGGATTGCTATTATTATTGTAAGACGATACACAAGTCATCTTTTCTTAGTATAATGTTTTGTTTTTTTTCATTCTTGTGTTGATCTTGCCGTGTTTTTTTAATAGGATGACATTATAGACGATGTGGAGGACTTTGTAGCAGCAGCTGAGATCCTTAAGGAGCGAGGAGCCTATAAGATTTACATTATGGCAACACACGGGCTGCTGTCTGCGGAGGCTCCCAGACTCATAGAGGAGTCTGCCATAGATGAGGTATAATTATGATGGTGATATTAGGAGTTGCATAAAGCCTCACAATTACCAGTACATTCAACAAGCTGAATAGGAAATTAGGACCAAAGTACTGCCTGTGCTCAAATTGGCCATCAGCACGAGGAAACGGCTTTTACAAGGTTTGTGGACTTTTCAAAGATGCACAGAACAGCAACAATGAGCAATGGCACACATTTGTGCTTAATGCCTTTTTGTTGCACATGTTGTTACACAATTATGTCTACTTTAAAATACAGAGTTACAATATATTTTCTTATTTTCTTATAAATTTATATTGTATGTTCTGTATTTATTTTATTTTATATACATTTTCTTAAATAGACAGCAAAGTCACACAAGACAGCCACCAAGCCACCCCCTCTCCTCACTCATCACATACAAAATTACACACAAAAAAAACAGTGGGCATACAAACATAAACAGGCAGTCATAGTCAAGATGTTCCAAAAAGGTGTCCACTTCTGTTTGAAGTCCAATCATTTCCCCGTATTGAATGGAGAATCTTTACTTTGTAGCAATTTTTAGCATTTTTTCTTTCCTTTTTTATGCACTGACTGATTTTAATTTTGTACTAACATACAAAAGACAAAACACTACAAGCACCATGCTTTCACACTCTAACCAATGTTCTTTATTTAGGTTGTGGTGACCAACACTGTTCCTCATGAGATACAGAAGCTGCAGTGTCCCAAAATCAAAACTGTGGATGTGAGCATGATCCTGGCAGAGGCCATTCGCCGCACCCACAATGGAGAGTCTATGGCCTATCTGTTCCGAAACATCGCTGTGGATGACTGAGGCAATGCATGCTCTGATATTCCTCTGTTTACACTGCATGACCAAAGACACAAGGACCAACCACACAGCTCCTGTATGTTTATGTGAACACAAAGCCATGTTTCAAGCATTTAATCTTTGACCTGAAATCCAACTTGTTTCCTGTTAAAATAGAATGGTGAAAGAGCACTCACAAAAATTATCCTTTGTACTAGTAATTCTAAAACAATTTAACTTTTTCCCACAGTATTCTGATTTGTCATAATAGCACCTGTATTCATTAAACTACTACTGTTTGCCCTTTATTGCATAGAAAGTGACTTCTTTCTTGTATAACAATATGCACTACTACACTGCATATATTCATTTAAAAGGTATTGGCTTGCTGTGGCACTAAACTGAATATTTCAGAATAAATTCACTAAAGTCAGTGTTAAAGGCTAAATGCAATCCACTTTATTTATATAGCACATTTCATAAACAAAACCGTTTCCAAAGTGCTGCACAATACAGATAATACAATAGGATTATATAATAAAGTTCTATTTAACTCCACTAGTCCTCGTTAAGACAATAAAATAAAACTAGTAAAATCAAACAAGAGTAAAATTACCAGTAAATAAAAAGGTATGTATTTTCTATCAACACTAAATGTAATGAATTTCCTTCAGGATCAATAAAGTATGTGTGAATGTATCTATCTATCTAAACTGCACTTAGTCTAACAGTTCACATTTGGTTTGGACAATAGATGTAAATGTCATAGATATTTCTGGCTCAGACTCTAGACGCTGCACCATCTGACAGGTGAGTTTCAGTCACGGTTTCAGTCACAGTTCTTTCATACATCAGAGAGCCCATTGTTCAAAAAGAGGAATCATCTTTACTTCTCACTTGTCAGTTTGTTACTCTATATAATTGTGTATGATTACTTTAAAAACATTCTAGCTCTTTTTCTTTTTTTTTTTTGAGAGTTATATTTTAAACAGTGACTCAGTCGGCATGGCCTGACTCAGTGCCATGTGACGTTTTTGTGTTAATTTTATTCCACAACACAGAAAAAATGCTTCACTGTAGCAGCCCACATGGCTTCCCATTTTAGCATAACTTTGTAAAAGCTGAACTATTCTAACAAAGCAAATGCACTGACTACTTACATTTGAGTACATTTTATCTCGATGTAATGAGTCCTTGACCCTGAACTTGTTCCAAACGCCTCAGAGCTCATATTCTGCTGAGGAGCTTTGACCAAGTCCAGCAACAAAGACCAATCCAAAAAATGTCCCCTCAAAAATCCTTATGGAAAAAAATCCAAATAATCAAAGAATAAATTATAAGAGAAAATTATACGTAGACTTGTACACTATCTCTTTCATGACTGAGCTTGCTTAACCTGTCCCCTTTTGAAAATGAACTGAAGTGTGGAAGGTTGTTTTAAATGTTGAAACTGAAAGAGGAACTTCTCAAACGTTTTTGGTCCACTTCCCTAAATGATAAATTCAAAAACCTGGGTCAGTGTACTCTTGATGGATGACCAAACTAGGTTTATAGATAGATTATTTATTTTATTAATTTCTTCTATAGACAGATTAAATACAGTTTAGGTGTAGATTCAGTACACCTAATGTATTAATAAAAATAAAACTTCTACTGTATTTTAACTTTTTATCTTTTTAAACTTCAGATTTCATATTACAATCTTGTTACCTTCTCAAAACATACTTGGAGTTGTGTTTTGTTTTTTTTGTTTTTTTCACACATGTTTGATTAATTCTGCGTTATTAGTTTGCCTACATTTCCAAAGCTCAAAATGCTCTGTTCCACCTTGTGATGTCATGAAGCTGTAGTGTTCAAGTTAACAGCTCCTTTTACCGTTTGTTCAGTAGAGTTTGGCAATTCCAGTTCTGAAAATATCCAAATGTTTCTAGTGAACATATATGGAGTTAATAAACACAGGGGAGAACTTCCTGTATTACCTCATGACATCACAATGTGGAACAGAGTGTTTTCCTTTTGAGAAATTAATGTAGCCTAAATTTACAGAATTTGTGTGTTAAACATGTGTGAACGAAAAAACACAATTCAAGTTCTATTTCTGTTGAGGAAACATAGCATAGGTCAGAAAAATAGCATAACGCACGTCCTTTAAATAAATGTTAACTGTAGTATCTGGTTTATATCTGAAGGGGGCAGTGTTGATTCAAACGAGACGCTGCGTTAAAATGTGGAGCGCTGTCGGTACCTGTTATCCAATATATTAATGTTATGTTGATTAGTCCACAGCAATACCGCTTTTGTGTACCCACTGTAATATAAGAAATATTTTTTACTACGTTCAAATCAAATCAACAATTTCATCCAGTTAATCAGCATAGTTTCTTAATGTTTGCCTTTGATTGTATGGGCGTTTGCCACGAGGTTGTGGACAAAAGAAATATGATTTTGTGAGACTTTCCTTGTGTTTACATTTGGCTTGGCTTGCAGTAAAAAATGCCAATAACAGTCAAATAAAATAATAATAATAATAGCCAAAATTGTGAACTGAACCACCCAGTTTATTTATTATAAATTAAGTCAAAATCTAATTTTGTCTCAATCTTTTAGATCAAATTTTATGTATTGTTTCGGCCCATCCAAGTTACTTTACTACAGTTAAATGTCATTTTTATGTAGCTTTATACTCCTCCTTCATTATATATGAAAGTATAAAGTTATGAGTTGAGAAAAAAAAAAAAAACAAGTGTTAATCTGTTCCTGCATTTTATTGCACATTTAATTCCACAATCCACATTGCAAACAGCAAATACTTACAATAATTTTCTTGATAAAAAAAAAAAAAAACAAAACTTAATTTATGAAATAAAAGCTTAAAAAATGCTAATTTTAAGTCATGATTTCAAAATAAAAAAAAGTGCTTACAATTGCAATTTACATTTTCACCACATTTTAAAAACCACATGGAAATGATGCCATGCTCCACAATGCATATGTACAAAAATGTAAACATGAATTTGAACAGCTGGGGATAAAACAATTTTGAACTATTACAACAGATTCAATGGCAGCTGAACAGTCTAGAGAACATTACAATTGAAATTTACACTTTTTCACTGTGTTGATCTAAACATCATCACCAAAGCAGCAATAACTTTACATAACATTTGATATAAGTCCTTTCTTTTTCCACAATCATTTTAGTAGATTAGAGTCCTCTTGAAGTTACTGCAGATTTTCATTTTTCTCAGCTCATTCTCTGTCCAGCAGACGTGAGTAGCCCCCCACACAGCTCTGCTTGTGTTACGACAGAATACAACTGTTGGTTTTGTTCATGGGTGGTCTGAAGTCGGTATCTTTGGGAAAGGTCTCTCTTCGTCTCCGTAGCGCCGGACTCAAGCGGCTGGGCAAATTTGCTTGCTGCAGAAGCTCCTTGAACACCTCCACCACATTGGCATTGTCCTTCGCTGATGCCTCCAAGTAGCTGTTGTTCCAATCCAACTCCACAGTGGACAAAACATCATCTCCAGACACCTGCCGCTCATCTTCTCTGTCGACTTTGTTCCCCACCACCACAATCGGCGTGTACTTGTCCTCCTTGATCTCCAAAATCTCATCTCGGAGACTCTTCACCGCTTCTAGGGATTCTGGGTCATCCACAGCGTACACCAAAGCGAACGCATCACTGTTTTGGATGGATAGTTTACGCATAGCGGGAAAGGAGTAGCTGCCACTGGTGTCGAGGATCTCCACTGTGATTTTGACCCCGCCGATGTCATACTCCTTGCTGTGCAGCTCCTCCACGGTGCGCCGGTGCTTGGGTTCAAAAGTGTCTTGGAGAAAGCGGCGAATCAAAGCAGTTTTACCCACACCGGCTGCTCCCAGAAACACTAAACGAACATGAGTCTTCTCCTTCACTTCTAAAGACATGATGGAGCAATTAATGCCAACTTCAGAATCCTATTAAGTCTTATATACTCTTTTAAGCTTCTTTCAAATCCTATTTTCTTACAGTCTTTCCTCAGTCATGTCTCTACACTTTCTAGTCTCAAGTCTACTCCTGAAATCCTGGTCAAGCTTTCCTCCCCTGCCTTTTATTCTGTTTTGGTGAGAGAGCTTATCCCTCTGACAGTTTCAACCAATCAGGAGAAGGCAGCCTGTTGAAGAGGAATATCTAGGCAACCAATGATGGAGGTACATGCAAATGAGCTCCACAGGACCAACTCAGAAGGAGCAGGAGAAGAGAGTGGTGTCAGTGCGTGCACAGCCAGCCGAGCGTGGAAAATAGTATTTGAGCAACACAGATCCAGGCAAAAGCACGGGACTGTTTGTTTAAGAGGTGAAACGGAAAGGCTTTGCTGAGAGGGACTGTCGGTAATTTGTCTTTTTTGACACTATTCAGGGTCAAATCGATCTCTGCGTTAAGTGGTTTACTCATTACTGGGATATGGCTCTGATGATGCTTCAGCAACAGTCCAGCTTAGTTTACATGGGCATTGACACCATTTTGTGTTGAGTTGGTGATGCTTTTCCAAACAAAACAAAAGGTAAATGCGATAATACAAGGTAGCACATTAAAAATTTATACATAAAGAATTCCCTTAATTCACAATTTATTAGCACAATTTACAAACAAAGCTGTTGTGATGCACTTAAAAAATAAAACTCCAAAAGCATTTGATGGATTAATAAAATGAGCATAAAAACAACAGTAAAATAACAATAAAATGTTTGAGCATAAATAAATAAATAAAATCTGTAAAACATGTCCATAAAAAATGTAGGACCACACCACTCACAAGGTTCTTATCTCGTCTTATTTAGGAACCATAAAAGGTAAATACACAAATGTGGAACCTGACTAGATCCAAGAACAAGCTGCATTTTATTTTTTATTTTTTTCTGATTTATGTTATAATGCTGTTTCCTCATCATAAACATACCTGGAGTTGTGATTTGTTTCATTCACACATAAACTTACATCCATACATCTTCTCTAGAATCATAACAATCTCCACTGAACTGACACTAAAATGTAACAGTTAACCTGAAAACTACCTCTAGATGACCTCACAAGGTGGAACAGAGCATTTTGAGCTTTGGAGATGTAGACAGACATAATAAAGGTTTATTCAAACTCATGTGAATGAAACAAAACACAACTCCAGGTATGTTTTTGATGAGGCAACAGCATTATAACATGTCTTACAGCTCTCAAGAATCAATTTTGTGTAATATAAGACCTTTAACCAATAGCTGCTTCCATCTGTGTTAACTATAACTGGCCTGTAGAATGTTTTGATGTCATCTGAAACCCAGCGATGAGCGGGGTTAGAAAATTTTAATGAGGTCTGAGATGTGAATCCATTTCAAACTATTTTAAACAGGATGGCAGTACAAAGAGTGAGGGGAGTTGTAATCAGGGTGCAGTGCGTGGGGTACGCAGGGGGTATGCTGTCCACCCACTTCTCCCGACGTGAGATAAAAAAATAACAAATATAAAATAGCTACAATTTAAATGTCAAACCCGGAGCTACTGGCAGTGGTGAAAACAACCTGCAGAGACTCATATCTGCAGTACTGTCCTATAGTGACCTGCAACATGAGGGTCCAGGACTGAACCAGGAATAAAACAGGCCTAAAACGGGTCTAAAACAGGACTGAACCAGGACTGAACAGGGCTAAAACAGGACTAAAACAAGTCTAAACCATGTCTAAACCAGGACTAAACCAGAACTAAAGCAAGACTAAAACAGAACTAAAACAGGTCTAAACCAGGACTAAACCAGGACTAAACCAGGACTAAAGACTAAACCAGGACTAAACCAGGACTAAACCAGGACTAAACCAGGACTAAACCAGGACTGAACCAGGACTAAAATAGGTCTAAACCAGGTCTAAACCAGAATTAAACCAAGACTGAGTGTCAGGATGGGCCAGGTGCGCCTGTGTAGACCATCGGGTGACTGCAGGCGAAAGGACCGGCACAGAGCTCTGTGCCCCACGGGGCTATGCGCAGCCGTCGCCCAATCAAGCTTTGCAGGCATCCTGCTCCTTGGGCTCTGGGTTCTCTGTCTCTCTGCCTCTCTCAAGTCCAAGATTAGTCCTGGTTTAGTCCTGATTTAGACCTGGTTTAGACCTGTGGTAGTCATGGTGTAGTCTTGGTTTAGACCTGGTTTATTCCTGGTTCAGTTCTGGTTTAGTCCTGGTTTAGACCTGGTGTAGTCCTGGTTTAGTCCTGGTTCAGTCCTGGTTTAGTCCTGGTTCAGTCCTGGTTTAGTCCTGGTTTAGCCCTCCTGGTTCAGTCACGAATTGCATACCTCCCTTAATAAAAATTCTCACTACACCACTGGTTGTAATAGTGTATTTTTTAATCCCCATTGAAAAACTTTTGTCTATATCTATATCTATAGTCTATATCTATATATCTATATCTATAGTCTGTAGTCTATAATCTATAGTCTATAGTCTGTAGTCTATAATCTATAGTCTATAGTCTATATCTATAGTCTATGTATATCTATCTTGCATGTAATAAAGCTGTGCTGTTGCACAGAAAAACCTGTATCCATTGCCAGTCTACAAAACCCCATCTGTCTTCCTTACTCAATTGGTTGTGTTGCTGGAACATTTTGCAGCAGGCCACACTCTCACATCTTTCCTCTGTCTTAGTTTCTTCTTCCTCAGTTGTAAGCCAGACTTGTGATCCTGCTAAATTTCCCCCAGGACACTGCGTTGTCTCTGAAAGCACAGCTCGCTCTGCCTTGTTAGGTTAGCCAACAGAACAGAACCAATGAAAAGCTACAGGGAACACCTTAGCCCATTCCTCTGTCCCAACAAAGTCACAGTGATAATAACATCCAAGTACACAGCATGTCTCCAGGGGGTGCTGTATCTAAGCGCAGCTAAAGATGGGGAAAATTTTCTGTCATACTGAGAGGAGCATTAATACCTACAGACAACAGATCTTGTGTGTGCCAACGTGATGACTGGCACTGTGAGAGACCGTGGCCCTGTTGAGAAGATCCAAAATGCTTTTCCAAGAAGCCAGCATACGAACCACTCAAGTATATCCATGCGTTCTGACATGTTTTCAGCCAACAGATAGTGACTTATTAATGGGCCTGTCACAATAACAACTGACATAATAACCCAAGAGCAGATTTAAACCACAAAAATATTCTAAAACTACAATATTGTTACAAGATCATGAGTTGCAATGAAACAGCAGAAACACTTTGTACTTAGTAGGGATGTAACAATAATCGAAGTATTGTGCAATCGTATCGTCAGACATCTCACAATAATATCTTGGACCATCACAATATATTGATATACAAGACTCTGCTTAAAAGTATAGATATGGTGCAGCAATAGCTAAAAAAAAAAAAAAAAAAAAAAAAACAGAGGGAACTATATAGACCATGATCCTTTGCTCTGTTTCAGTGCAGACTCCATGAAGAAATAACTGTTCTAAGCTGTTTTAGTCTTTGGATTTGGTCTTGTCAAGGGATTTTAAGAGAAAAAATTATATTCAAAATTTTATTAGCCTCCACAGTATATCGCAATAAATATCGTACCATGACGTGCATATTGTTAAAATATCGTACCAAGAGATTTGGATATCATTACATCCAGAGGTGGGGACTTACAATTCATGACTTGGACTCAAGTCAGACTTGAGTCATTATTTGTAAGACTCGAGACTTGACTTAATAAAAATGGACTAAGACCTGGAACTCGACTTGGACTTGAAGGTCAATGACTTGGGACTTACTTGGACTTTAGCCCTGGGCCCGGTCAAGCAGAAGTAAACAGCAAGGCCAAAAATTCAAGTTAATGCATCTGATATAAAAATGTATTCAACAGATACATATGTACTCTAGTTTATGAAACTGAACCTTTTTTCTGTACCATTTTTGTTTCTAAAGTTACATATGTTTTAAACATATGCATGTATGCAACATGGAACAAACATAATTTCCCAAATTTCTCAGATCTGCAAATCATGTAAATAAATTGATGTATTTCATCATATCTTGTGTTATTCGATCTTTGAACTGTTGATGAAGGTACATGATTTTTCAAAAAAAAAAAGTATTTAAAATGATGAAAATTAGCTTGGAAGGACTGACATATTTTATAGAAATAGTTCCCTTTCATTTTGAAGTAATATTAAAGTATTCGGAGGAAAAAAGCTGACAAATTATGCAAAATCATGCACCTTCTACTTGCTTGCACAGTTTTCCCTCCGTTACCATGACCTTTCTTAATAAAAAATCTCATTACTCAAAAAATAAGAGGTTTTTCAACCTAATCTTGTATCATATGGTAGAAAACTATATTAAGGAAACCAGTAAGTGAGAACCGGTAGTGATCGCTGTTTGTATTTATTGCCCAAAAAGTGCTACATACATACAACTTGAAAGAATATCGCAGGGTTAACTTTACCCTGTTGGAGTGCTAACTCTTTCCTACATTCCTTACTTACACCTTACTTATCTCAATAGTCCCTCTAGTTTCTGAATAAGAGCTATTTGAATGTAAAAAATCTGCCCGTTTCCCTCCGTTACCGCTTGACCGGATCCCCCTGGAACTTGAGAAGACTTGATGTTTCCCCAAATAAAAATGGTTGATACATGCGGTGCTTAATTTTACAGGAACAAACTGGAACTTGTCCCTTCCACTTTTCTATTTGTTACTATGGCAACAGTAACTAAAGTACTGTGATATTCTCAAATGTCCTACAGTAACATACAGTACCGTACAGCAAAACAGAGGGAACTGCACAGAACATTTTCAGTGCAGACTACATGGCAAAATAACTGTTATTAAGCACTCTTAAATCTGAATTCATTCTGTTCTGACCGTAATGATTCATACTAAGGTCTTTTCAAGACAAAAAGGACACATTTGCATTTCTACGACTCTTATATAAATATACCATGACATTTTAAGTAGAATTTAGATTAAAAATCATATAAATTGCAAAAATCTAAACTTTGGTTTAAAGACTTGAAATGACTTGAAGCTCAAAGCAGACGACT